TAAATACTATGATATAAAGTCATTACATCTTATGTTACATGATAAAGGGATAAGAAAGGGAAGAAAACAAAGATATTTCCTTGATATATATACATATCAAAACACACACACAAATACACACACAAAATAAGGAAGAAATATTCCTGACAATTACAATTCTTGTTTCTGTAACAGGTTACGTGGTCATAGCTGGTATTTGTAACTACTTTCTTCCACCTCAGCTGGTAATCATGGTTCTGGTAGAGTTATCCAAACCTTCTTTCCTGAGGGGTCTAAGCCATTAGTAGTCTTGTCTGGATCAGGTTGTTGTAGTTCTCTATTGACTTTAATCTCAGAACATGGTCATGCTAAGAGATTCCCTAAGGGATCTACTATGTTCCAGACATACTCCCTTACTCCATGTGGAGTAGCAAATTTCTCCCTGGTAGTCAGGACTAATTACCCCACTAAGCACAATAACTCCCTTCTGGCCTATAGATTCAGAGGTATGAGGAACCCAAAGTGACTAGGCAGCTGTCTAAACTTCCCGTCCAATGGAATCATCATTGTATCTCAAAACTAGCAGCTTTTTGGGTCCCTTGGTAAATGGACCCAAGTAACACACGCCAAAGAGGAATATGCTGTCTCCAAAAGCCAAGAAAAGTCCATGAGGCATTGTGGATTCTTCTTTGTTCTAAGGGGGACCATATGCAACACTTGTCTTTCACGTTAAAAGGGATATCTGACATATCCTGCATCACTGGATCCCCTAGAAATTTCATTGAAGTAGGTCTCTGACATTTCATCAGATTTATTTCCTCCCTCTGACACAAATGTCTTACCAGTAAGTCTACAGTATTTTCTACTTCTAGTTTGTTAGGTTTAGTCAGCATGATGTCATCAATATAATGAACCAATGTGATATCTTATGGAAGGGAAAGGCAATCAAAGTCCCTGTGACCTAAATTATGATATAGGGTTAGAGAGTTGAAACCCCTGAAATAGGACTGTGAAAGTGTCTTGCTGCCCTTTCCAGCTGAAAGCAAACTGCTCCGGGTGGTCTTTATTAACAAAGATGGAGAAAAAGACATTGCTAGACCAATAGCTGCATATCAAATATGAGGGGGTGTGTTGATTTGGTCAAGCAATAAAACTATGTCTGGTATAGTGGCTCCAATTGAAGTAACCACTTGGTTGAGTTTATAATAATCCACCATCATTCTCCATGATCCATCTGTCTTCTGCAGAGACCAAATAGGCAAGTTCAGCAGAACATGGTGGGAATTACCACCACTTCATCTTTCAAGTCCTTGATGGTGGCACTAATTTTTCTTAAAAGTTTTATATATTTATTTTGGAGAGACAGCAGGCCACGGGAGGGACAGAGGAAGAGAATCCTCAAGCAGGCTCTTCCCTCAATGCAGAGCCCAATGCAGGGGTGATCCACGACCCACGAGATCATGACCTAAGTGGAAAATAAGAGTCCATGGTGACACTGCTCTTTGCAACCCTTCCAGGAATGTGGTATTAACTTTTGTTTATTATTTCCCTAGGTAGAAGCAGTTTTAGTAGCTTGACCTTTCCCGCCATAATAGCCTCACTTCATAGGCCAGAGAATCTGTGTGGGGATTCAGAAGCTGCTATGTCTCTTCCAACCGTATATTCCAATATTGGGGATTCTGCTTGTCCTGCTCCTTCCCCCTCTCTTCCACCTCCTTCTAGTCTCTCTTTCTCTCTCTCTCTCTAAAATAAATGATAAAATCTTAAAAAAAAAAAAAAAGGATGGGTTTACAGATGCCCTGGGACCACTGTGAGGCAGATCTGAGCTAAAACTTCATTTATCACCTGACCTACATAAGCCCCTACTTTGACTGGTGGACCAAAGTGACATTTTGAGTTTCTTATAATTAGTGTCAGGTCAGAGTTGGGTCCAGCAATCCCCAAAAGGGATTTTTAAAAATTTTTATGATTTACTGACCATTTCCTTTTTCCCCCAAAGTACAGTTACCTTGATAAAAAGGTAGATAGGCCCATCGGTCCCTATGGGGTAGACTGGGAAAAAGAGTAACAGTAGAAATTTTTGGAAGTGTACTAGGGTTCTTCCTCAAGGAGACCTGGTCTCCCTTTCATTCAAGGGGCTCTGGGTCTATAAACGGGCTCAAGTCTGGAAATTGAAGGGCTATGACTCTTGTTTTTATGATTTAAGTTAGATTTTTGTCCATTTGAGCTAGAACTCTTCTACTTATACAGATCAAATGAGAATTTAGTAGGCTTCCCATATGTTTTTCTTCTAGGAGCGCCACGATCAAGAGCCAGCATCACACGTCTCCAGGAGTCAGACTATTGGATTGCTGTTTTGACTCTGCTGCCCACTATGGTAATGACACCCAGTTTGCCTTTGGTGATGGAGTGCTGCCATTTGGACCCTGCCACTTCACCATTCAATGCATTTAGGCTTCCCAATTCAGTGGCAGCAGTTCCTACTGTAAGTTCTGACCTACAGAGAAATGTTACTGTAGAACCCTTCAAGGATGCTGAGGCTTCCCTCACAAATTTATTTCTCACTGTTGTAGTGAAAGGTTTGTCCCCAGTAGAAACTTCTAAGGTAGGTGAGTAGGTCTTAAATGACAAATGCACCCCAATTTTATGTTTTTTTTTTAATCTCCACTGTCTAGTGGAGATGGTTGCACAACATTATAAACATTCTGAGAGTTATTGAAGTGTATACTTCAAAATGGTTAAGATGAATTTTAAGGTGAATTTTATGTTACGTGAATTTTATGTTGTTGAATGTATATGAATTATATATTATATTATTTTATGTTATGTAAATTTACCTGCTTTTTAAAAATCTCAAAGACTCCATACAGAATATTTCCATGAGTTGAGTAGTAGAAAGTAAGATTAATGATATCTTATTTTGAATGAAACTACATTGGTTCCTATTGATCACCCCTTCATCTTCTAGAGATCAGTCAACTTTCAACTATAGGCTGGAGACCCCTTTCATCTTGGTAGTGTAGTGCCTAGGAATTTGCTTAATTATGTCTATAGTAATTACTGAATGCACACTAAAATTTGAGAATCATAATTCTAGATGCCCATAAGTCACCCATTAATAATTTTCTCTAAATTTTTGGCTGCTCCAAATGTTGATAGCACCTGTCTATGGTTTCAAATAGTCACTTTTATCTTCTCTTTGAACATCAGAAGATGATTTGCTCACCTGGTTGCTTCTTATTTTTTCCACAAGTCCTCAAATAATCCTATCTCAGAATTTTCTCTAAATAGAGAAATTACTCCAAAAACTAGAAATGATAGAATTCAGCAGTAATTTTTGCACTTATCTTGATCTACCTCTTCCCTTAAGGATTTTCTAACATTTTCTTTCTGATGCCCACTTTCCTTGACAGACGAAGCAGAAGCAACGTCTGAGTTGTTTGATAGGCAGAGGGACCCCTATAACTTAAATCAGTGTTCTACTCCTATCTTATTGGTCCAGTGCCCCAAGGTGGGAGTTTTGGTATGAATACTTCAGATTTTGTTTTGAAGAAACATCCGAGTGTTGTCCCTTTCAATGTGGAGCTTTACTCGGGTGCTTTGATGCAATATACTTAAGCAATCTTTCGGGAATGGCTTCAGAGCCAACGTAATAACCTTCGTATTTTTTAGGCACAGCGGGACCTCTCATATTTGCACTTCGGACCACAGACTACTTGGCTCCCACTTTCCTGACTCTCCAAATGGTTTATTTTACATTTTGAGCTATTCTGCGGTTTACTGTGTCCTACGATGCAGTAATGAATGCTGTGTGCCCTTTGTCCCATAGCAGTCCCCCCGCCAGCACCTATACAATTCCCTCTTTCTTCCGAAATGGCAAGCGCGTCCGTTCAAGGTAGAGTCGCCTTCTGCTGGTGGGAATTCTGACGACAGCAGCCGGCAGACTGGAGAATCCTCCCAAGCCCAGGATCCTCGCCGGACGCGGTGGCGCGCGCCTGTAGTCCCAGCTACTCGGGAGGCTGAGGCAGGAGGATCGCTTGAGCCCAGGAGTTCTGGGCTGTAGTGCGCTATGCCGATCGGGTGTCCGCACTAAGTTCGGCATCAATATGGTGACCTCCCGGGAGCGGGGGACCACCAGGTTGCCTAAGGAGGGGTGAACCGGCCCAGGTCGGAAACGGAGCAGGTCAAAACTCCCGTGCTGATCAGTAGTGGGATCGCGCCTGTGAATAGCCACTGCACTCCAGCCTGGGCAACATAGCGAGACCCCGTCTCTTTTGAGTTCTCACCTTAAAGTATCCTTTCTTCTCATGTATCTACCGAGCACAGCGAACAGTGGTTTCTTACATTTTCTTACGGTTTTCCTACTACCCTGTGAATCCCCCATAGCGGGGTGATCTCTTATTCTGTCTTATTATCTAGCGAAATACCTGAATACTCAGGTTGCCTAGCGTGTATGGAGTTGGTATTGCATACCAGATACTACGCTGAGGCAAGGGGATGCCAAGACCTAGGTTAAATGAGAACCCCACAATTCATCTCAAAATACTCCAGAGAGCAGAGCCCATCAAAATAGGAACTCCTTTTTGAACGTTGCTTCACCTTTATCATTGAGGGTAATTGTAAGGCGACTGAAACAGTTCCGCTTCGTTACATTTCAAAAATTCTACTGGTCCAGGTAACCAAATGGAAAGGGGCTGTTGCTCCGACATACCGAACCCTACCGCCCATCTAGGGGAAATCCTCCCAGTACGCTCCTCATAAATTTCTATCACCAGCAGGGGTCACTAGGGAGACTCGCTTGAGTCCCGAAACAGAAGGGAGAAAGGTAGCCGAACTAGTCCGTCAGCCTTCCAGGAAGAAGTGCAGTTTCAAGAGAATAGTTTGGATTTATTTCGAATTGTTTCGGTATAACGAAAAGCCAGCTGATGGCGATTCGATAATCCAAATCTTCGGAGGAGTGACGCAAACACCTTCGCTTCAAGGAATATTGGGTCTTCTGCGCGGCCGTAGATTTCGGCCGAGTGCGCCTGCGCATAAGAGTAGCGGCGTTGAGTCAGGCAGTCAGTGGAGAAAACTGCGGTAGCGACCCTCGGACCTCGCCATGAAGACTCGCTTTAGCACCGTTGACCTCCGCGCGATACTCGCGGAGCTGAATGCCAGGTACTGGGCGATAGGTGACCAGGCTCGTGCGAGGAATGCAGAAGGCAGAGGCCAGTGCTCCAACGTGGAAGAAAGACCAGTCTGATGTTGTTTCCCCTTAATCCTTTAGTGCTGACTTCTGCGGACTTGGCTAGGCCTGGGTGGGCGAGCGCGTGACATCTTTCCCGTGGCCTTCAGGACACCGGGGGGACCCCAGCATCCGCATGCCCCACACCCCACTCTCACGGGTTGCTTGTCTCACCAGGTCTTGTGTCAGGCTTTGGCGGGGCCCTCGCCGATCTCTCGCCTTGTTGGCCTCAGTTGCCCTGGTCTGGCAGCAAACATTAAGTAAAACAAGAGTCACCGGGTGAAAGCCAGAATGCCCCAGGAGTCTTTTGCCCCAGGGGTTTCCAGAGTGGAGGCCTGATTAGACGCTTCTCCTTACTCCTGAAAGAGGGAATGTCGGCGTCCTAGCTGCAAGTAACAGATTCTAGTCTGGTTTCTATTCCGCTGTGTGAGTTTTGTCATTTTTCCAGGGTTTCATTTACCTTTTTTTTCTTTTGTAATAAAGTGGATTAGATCGTACTATATTTCCTTTAAAATATTGGGTCATTTCAAGGACGCAGGGCATTGCCTGGTTTTCTTAGGGCTGGCATACCGCTTTTGTTCATAAAAAGTTACGGTTAAGTTTTGGACCGAATGCCTGGGACCTTCAGACTCTGCTCCCTGGTTGACTCCATATCCTTAGAGTTGAAGATCCCCTCTTTCCAAGGCTCTGCTTCTGCCTGCCGCTTTAATTTCTGTGAAGTTCTATATTTCAAATGTTGTTACATGTTTCCTTTCTCTTTGCAGCTTAATAGGAATGAGAGTAAACAATGTTTATGATGTGGATAATAAGACCTATCTTATTCGTCTTCAAAAGTAAGAGCATTTTACAGGCTTGTTTTATCTTTGGTAATTAAATATGAGATTATTAATTTTTTTACTTGCACTTTTAGTCTTTTTTACTGAGTTAATATTGACAAATGCCCTAAAGAGAAATTTAACTTTTTTCTTTTACAGACCAGACTTCAAAGCTACACTTTTACTTGAATCTGGCATACGAATTCACACAACAGAATTTGAGTGGCCTAAGAATATGATGCCATCTAGTTTTGCCATGAAGGTAAACTTTACGTTATACTTGAAGCTAAATTATAAGGCCCTGAGATTGGTCACTAACGATTTAAGTTTTGAAACGTTTGGTTTTCCTTTACTATTGTGAATAAAGTAGAGATAGAGTAGAGTAGTTGATAGATAACTGGGATAAACAAAGTAGCTGTTTATTGACTTTTTCCTGTTACTCTTCACACCCCATTGTGGTCCAAATCTTTCTGTTCCCACAGTCACTATTCTAATTTGAGCTTTCATAACATTCCCTTAAAGTCCTTTAGTTACAGTCTACTTCTTGCTATGAAAACAGTTGTGTCAGACCAGGGTTAACTTTTCTAAAACCTCCTTTTCATCAGTTTTTCACCTTTTTGTGATTCCCTAATTTCTGAGCTTATATCCTATGTATATCCTCTAATTCTTGGCTTTCTATGATATGCCTTACCTCCCCTTTCCTAGTTTTCTGCGGCTCACTTTTGAGCTACCAATCTGTATTTTGTTGGAATACTCAATGACATTAGTATGTTACCAATCATATCTTTTTACTTTTCACTTTTCTCTTTGCTTTTGTTTTTTATTAAAATTGAGATTCTGCATTTGTGGACGTGTTACCTATCCATTTGTTGACATAACAGATATACTGAAAGATTATGTGGTACAGAGGAAGGACATTAGAATCAAATATACCTAACTTAGAGTTAATGATTTTGCCGCTAAATAATTTTATAACCCAGAAAAGGTACTTAACCTCTTGAAACTTAGTTTCTTTAAATGTAAAATGTGGATAATACCTCCCTCATGGGATTATTGGTGAGGATTAATTGAAGTAACATGTAAAGCACCTAACACAATGCCTGACACATATTAGGGCTCCATATGTATTAATTTCCTTCTTCCTCTCCCTCTCCTCCTCACTTTCCTTCAGAAATTTATTTGTTTTGGCATTGTGTTATTTCATTAGAGGCTTTACAGAGAAGAATCTTATCCCCAGCAACTTAGAATCTGTTTTGGATTACAAGTTAGGTAAGTGTTTCCCAAATCACAAGGCCTGTCACAAAATTATCAAAACTTAAAAGTTTAATATACTTAATAGTAACCCTAAATGGTTTTTTGGGAATTATCCCTAATGGTGGCACTTGGTATTTGTATAGCATTTTTCAAAGTAAATGAATAATGTATATTTTAAGTTGTTTAATATATCAGTGGATATGAAGAACAGTTATTTTAGTTTTACAGATGATGTAACAGATGATAAGATATATGATACTGGGATTGTGGGAAAATCCCCAAATTAGGCTATACCAATAGGAAGCCAAATACTCTAAAAAGAGTTAGAATTTTATGAGTTAGGTGGAGCAGACAGTGTTAAGCATGTTACAAATAATTTAATGCTACTGTTGTATGGCATAGTCATGCTCAGTTTGTGGTAAATCACAGTGATTGTTCCTCATTCTCATATTTGGGGATGCCAGTTAATGCTTTGTGGCACCGAGAGTTGTTTCCATCAAGCTAATAGGGAAATAAAATAAGCACTACATATGTACCATATGCCCATCTATACTCATGATAAATAATCTTCCCTTTTCTCCATTCCATGGTGTGGTTTTCAGTTCCTTTCAAGAATGCCTTTTATCTCCATTTTGACTTTATTTTTCTTGAATAAAAATACTACTGGGGGACTCTGGAAGGATTATGATTTTCCCCTGGGGATTTAAAAATAGCCCTATATGTAGGTCACTGTTTAAATCAAAATCATTATAGACCACTCGTAAGTCAGAACTGTTGAATATAGGAAGGCGAGATTGTTAGAAGTTTGAAAAGTCTTATTACATCTGCCTGAATATATTAGTACATAAAATGAGAATTTTAGTCAATTTGAACTATCAGGTCTGGGGAAGAAGTCTTGGTTATCAAAGAGTTGGCATTCTAAAATTGATTATATATATCTTTCTTTTGATTTTTTTTTTAAGGTGACTTTATATTAACGTCTCTGTAAAATTTGTCTTGAATTTAAGTCTTGAAAGCATTCTATCTTACTGGTCTTGACTAAAGGGTCTTTCTAATTCAAGAATTAGAAACAATTGGAAAATTTTGGGGGGCACTACAGAGTAGTCTTATTTCTGGTCTGTATTATACTTAAATATTTGTACTGAAGGATGGTACATAAAATCTAAAGCAGTAGGTGCTTACCAGGTAATTTGTGTTTGGGTTTAAAAATGTTAATTTTATTTTAATTGCTAATAAAAGAACATCATGACTTAGGGATAGGAAGAATGGGATTTGATAAGGAATGGGAGTTAATACATTTGGATTTGAGCTAAGTTGATCAAAACCTTTGGAGACGGTACCAGAAAAAATCTGTCTGGGTTGGATTAATAAATTTTTGGGAATAGAAGGTAATTGGTTGTATGTAGAGGACTAACTTATAGAATACCAATAAGCTCATGGTTCAGAATTTGTATTTGAAGTAGAAGATTAGTGGAAACCACTAATTAATTTTGAACACAAAGGAAATTGGGGATACTTAAAAGATGGGACTAGAAAGGGCCTTAAAAGGTTATAGTTTTGAGTGAGGACATCAGGGAAAGAAAAAGGGATTTAACAGTGGTATAAACAAAATAAATTTCTCTGTAGGTCTGTCATTGTCTTCTTAAAAAAGTATAAAATACTGTTTCAGAGTTAGTGGGGTCGTCTGAAATAAAATATTTTTCCTTAGATTATCATCTACAAACTTTTGTTTACTACTTTTTAAATGTTATTACTGATGGTAATGAAAAGAGGAAACTTACTTACAAACCAGTATCAAACGATTAGAAATTGACTTCTGTATAAATGACTTTTTCTTCTGTTTTTCACTAGTGTCGAAAACATTTGAAGAGTCGGCGTTTGGTCAGTGCAAAACAACTTGGTGTGGATAGAATTGTAGACTTTCAATTTGGAAGTGATGAAGCTGCTTATCACTTAATCATTGAGCTCTATGATAGGGTAAGTTAAATTTGGGTAATGATAGCAAGGGTAATTGATCATTATATTGTTACTTATTTGTGTAATGCTATTGTACTGTAAAACATGGTCAGGGAATCTTCTTCCCCTTCCCTTACAGGCAACTGCAACTGCAGCCCATCTGAAGTTGATTTTTGTATGTGGTCTCAGGTAGTGGTCAATTAAAATTTGTATGATACCATCTTTTAAAAATTTTTTTAAAAACTTTTTTGTTTGGAAATGACTATAGATTCACAGGAAGTTGCAAAGATAGGTCAGTGTCCCTCCGTTGCTACATTTTACATAATTAGAATACAGTATCAAAATCAGGACTAGTGTGCATCTAGTTCTGTGTATTTTACCACCTTTGTAGATACATGTAACCACCACTGTAGTCAAGATACAGAATTTTCCATTACCACGGAGATCTTGGTGATACCCCTTTATGGTAATATCCACCCACCCTACTTCCTCCCACCATCCCTACCTCCTGACAACTACCAATCTGTTCTGTCTCTGTAATTTTGTCATTATATTGGGCCCTCGACAATGAGGTCAGTTTCAGAACCTTGCTTGAGAGGACATATCAGATACTCTTAAACAGGAGTTGTTAAACTGCCTGTGTCCCCTTTTTATAAAGCTCGTGAGCTTAAGAATGGCTTTTATGTTTTAAAAGGGCTCTTAAAAAATAGAAAAGAAGATGCAATTGAGACCATATGTAGCCACAAATGCTAAAATGTTTACTATCTTGCCTTTTACAGAGTTAGCTTTTTTTGGTATCTTGACCCCCCCCCGCTCTCATATATTGACTCACATCAATCAAGCCAGTATTGCTTAGACAAATGCCAAAATATATCAGGGAACCAAATTAGTATTTGTGAGACTTAATTTAATCTAGAAGCAGATGCTTCTATGAATATAGAGTGCCAACCTGTGATCTAGGATGATCAGAATTAATCACACAGGACTAAATAAGCTGGAGAGAATCTAATTGTGGTTAATTTTTTTTTCAGAATATTGTTAGTGTTATTTTTGTGATGAGTGTCTTATTGTACTATATGATAAAGCCCTTTGTCTTTCTCTTGATCTTTAGTAGTTCATACTTCTACAAATTGAAGGATCTATTCCTTATATGGTAATTTGCTGTCATTGGGGTTATATTTTATATGGAATAGTAGTGTCCACAAAGCTCTCCTGAGAAACTGGTTTTGTACCTTTTTTGTGGCATGTAAGGTCCTAGCTTATTGTGAGGAAGATCATATCCATGTAGGTTTGAGTAACTTTAAAGAGAAATTTACCTATGTTTATAGGTATACCACAGACATAGTGAGTAGTGGAGGTTTTTTTGTTTCTTTGTTTTTCTGTTTTGGTTGGTTTCATAAGCTTTGAATTATAACCAAGTACTAACTTTTAAATCTCTGGGATAACAAACTTTTGAAAATAAAATCCCAAATTTTTTATCAATTCTCCAGGCAGCAATAATTATTACGGCTTTAGTAACTGCTTCTTACCTTGTGGCTCTAGATTTGCTGACTGTAAGGAGATTTGTATATGTTAATTAACATTTCTTGCTGTACCTATATAAATAAATCAGGTCAAGATGCAATGAGTGTAGCTTATGTGTGTGTGTATTTGTCATCAATAATTTTGGATGTTATGATCATGAGAGGGGACTGTAAAAAAAAAAAGTATCCATTTGTCTCTTTGAAAAGAGACAAAAAGGACAAAATGTCATTTTAGTATCCTACTGAGTGCTGTCTGGTAGGCATTCCTGGGGATTATCTTTTTCCTTAAGGATGTATAGCTTTAATTTGGTATTTTCTATTGGTTAGGTTTTTTTTTAAATGATTCTATAAAGGTAGATTTTAACTTGTAGCAAACTGATAGCAGTACAAATATTTCTTGCATCATAGCAATGAAAATAATTGCATCCAGTAGAGATTCAAATTGTATCTATCCAGAGAAAAGATATCCCCAAAGGTTGGTCTATCTTACTGCCTTGAATTGGCAATCTTACACAATCATTCTCTTAGTTACTCTAAATATTTCACTTATTTCATTTCTCTTACAACCAGTTTTACCATCTAGTTGGTTCAATTGTTAATTAAATACTCTTTTTACAGTTATAAAAATAGTTCATTGTCTTGTGTCATCCATTGTTCCTAATGAAATCAGTGTCAGCTCTTTAGAAGGTAACCTGGCCTTTTTATCTGGATGCTTTAAAATTTTTTCTCTTCATGTTCAGTTTTCAGTTTTGCTGTGGTGTGCCTAGTTGAGTTTTTATTTGAAACTATCTTTTGGGGATTCATAGCACTTCTAGAAATGAGTTGATGTTTTTCATCAGTTTTGGGAAATTCAGCCATATTTTCTTTGACCTGTTTTCCATCACTAATTTTATTGCTATCGGACAAGAATCATTTAGAATTGCTTTGTGTGTCTGTTTTTAGTTTCTGTTGTTTCTTTTTATTTTAATTACATTGTGTTGTCTCTTCACATGTCTGGTTATTGTATTGTGTTGCAGGCATTGAGTAGGAAAAACAGTAGTTGCATTGTGAGATCTGGAATGATGTTCTCTTCCTCTAGAGAAGATAATTGCTTTTTACAAGTAGCTAAAGACACAAATAATACCAGATTACCTCACTCCAGTTAATTGAATTGATTAGAAGCTGGGCCTGGAGAAGCTGGTATATTTCCGATTCATCTCTTCCCCTGAGATGCAGCCTTTATGACTCACTATTCAGAGTTGGATTTACAGGGTATCCTCCCTCCCCAACTCATCTTTCACTTGGACTCTGAACTCCAGTTTTTATTCCCCTTAGTTGTCCTATAAGTTTGTCAAAACTTATGCTCAGCTTCTCAGCCTATCAGCTACTTCTTAACAGTTAAGACAAATGATCCTAGGGGAAAATTAGCCCCAAGAGTGGGACTTAACCTTTCTGAGTTTTCTTCCCCTAGGATTTGGTCCTGTAAATGTTTACTGTCTTGGTTGCATTTTTTATTTCTTCTTTTTTTTAAGATTTTATTTATTTATTTGACAGAGAGACAGCGAGAGAGGGAACACAAGCAGAGAGAGTGAGTGAGGGAGAGGCAGGCTTTCCGTGGAGATGGGAGCCTGATGCGGGGGCTCGATCCCAGAACCCTGGGATCATGCCCTGAGCCGAAGGCAGCCGCTTTATATATTTTGTCCAGCTTTTCTATTTCTCAGTAGGACAGTGGTTGGAATTAACCTAGTCTACCATTTAAATTAAACATGTTCTTACAAGTAGTATATGAAAACATTTTCCAGAATATAGAGAAGTACATAGAATTAAAGTGGAGGGCCTTATCATTCCTAGCCCAGACCATTTCCTCATCCCAAGGTAACCACTGTTGTGTTTGGTCTCCTATTTATGGTCTCTTTCCCTCTCCCCACCACCACACAAAAAAATTTTTTTTCATTTGGTGGGGGAAAATCTCTAGAATGTAACTAATGGCAGGCATGCTTGGGCTTTGGTCTCTCTAAGTGACCAATCATATACCAGGTACGGGTCTTTGCAGGTTTTTTTTTTTTTTTTTTCTTTTTCAGTTTGTTTTTTTGTTTAAGATTTATTTATTTGAGAGAGAGAGAGAATGAACATGTGGGCAGGAGTTGGGGTGATGGCGGGGAGGGGCAAGGGAGACAGAATCCCAAGCAGACCCCTTGCTGAGCAGAGCCAGCCACAGGGCTGATCTCATGATCTTGAGATCAAGACCTGAGCTGGAGTCAAGAGTCAGACACTTAACTGACTGAGCCACCCAGGCGCCCCTTTTCTTTTTCAATTTAATTTAGACTTTAATGATGCATAAAAATTCTTTCTATACAATGACTTTGTGTAATCTTTACTGTAATTTTAAAAAATCTAAACAACCTTTTTATTTTGTAATAATTTTAGATTTATAGAAAAGTTGAAAAGGTAATACAGGAAGTTATCATATGCCCTTCATGTAGTTTTTCTTAACATTAACATCTTACGTAATCATAGTCCATGTGTCAAAACCAAGAAATTAACATTGATGCATTGCTGTTAATTAAACTGTATATTCTTTTCAGATTTTACCAGTTTTTCTAGTACATGTCCTTTTTCTATTCTGGGACTCAATCCCGAATACCCCATTGCATTTAGGGCCTTTATATTTTGAAGGGTTTGAGCAATTGGCATGCATACTGCTACGTTTCAGAGGTCCAGTTATTGATGAGTTGGAAATAGAAAATAAGGATTTTGTACATGGGAGTATGTGCTTGGGAATTTTCACTAGTCACTGTGGTATCTAAGAGAGGTAGGTTGGTTGGTGGTTACAGTAAATCTTGAAGATTGCTCTTTCCTCAAACCAAGGTTTGATCTCCCAGCCTTCATGTCTGGAATTTTGATGCATGGTTTATCTAGAGTTGATCAGACCTTGGGTAAAGAGGTGATTACTACTCAGATTCATTTAAGAAAGCTTATTCATTTATAACAAAGTTTCAGTAAGAAAGACTCTGGAGAAAGTAAGTTAAGATCAGAAAGTAGTTTATTGAGTTTATCAGAGTCAAGCACAGTATTTCCCAAAGTATGTTTCTTAGATACCACCTGACATAGCTAATAGGTGTACCTAGAAATATGGATCCCTTAGCCATTAAAATTTGAGGACCTTTGATAATAAAGTAAGATATAATTTTTTTTTAACTCTAGGACTTATCAGTGCCTTTGATATAATAATGTGATGTGTATATCCCCTAGAGAAGGATTTGTTAACTTAAAATTTCCAACTAATTTGATCACAGAATTTTTTTAGAGGGGGGGAACCATCTTACAGAAGAGTTTTGGGAAACCTTGATTTAAGGAAAAAAAAACACTTCCAGGGAAGTAACTGCCTTGGGATCTGTCAGATGGTCTTGGTAACTGCACGTTTTGATTCAACAAACATTTATTAAGTACCTTCTCTGTAGCAGGCTTTATGGCTGGGCCTGTTTTTCAAGTTGTATATTCCTGAATTAGACACTGTATGGCCATTTTCCAAGCTCCCAACTTTTCCTTCTTCAGTTAACTTTTATGTTAAGTTAAATGCATGAATGCTTTGAAGTCAGAACTTTCAGGAGTAGGTATTACTCTTTCAACACCTAGTAACTTCTGGTTAATCAAGGTTAATGGTGGTCCCATCTGTTGATGCCACTAATCTTGCAGCCTGTCTTCCCCAACGTGAGACTCGAGCTACTCTTACTATCTTCTCTGACCAACTTCAAATTAGTTGCTAAAGCATTTGTGATTCCCTACATGGATGCTTCTTTGTATTTTTTTTTTTAAGATTTTATTTATTTATTTGACAGAGGCACAGGGAGAGAGAGAACAGAAGCAGAGGAAGTGGGAGAAGCAGGCTTCCTGCTGAGCAGGGAGCCTGATGCAGGGCTTGATCCCAGGACTCTGGGATCATGACCTGAGCTGAAGGCAGACACTTAATGACTGAGACACCCAGGCACCCCAGGTATTTTAACTCTATGACAACCCGTGTCTTTGCTGCCTATAATAAATTTGGAAGGCTGTATTCTTTGGGGAGTTTTATTTTCATTAAGTTTCTCCCTTCTTCGCCTGGGTGGCTGAGTCGGTTAAGCACTTGACTCTTGGTTTAGGCTGGGGTCATGGTTTTGAGGTTGTGGGATTGAGCTCCGTGTCTGGCTCTGTGCTTAGTGCAGAGTCTGCTTCAGATTCTCTCTACCTCTCCCTCACCTGCACTCTCTCTCTCAAATAAATAAAATCTTAAAAAAAAGTTTCCGGGGTGCCTGGGTGGCTCAGTGGGTTAATAAACCTCTGCCTTTGGCTCAGGTCATGATCCCAGGGTCCTGGGATTGAGCCCCCCACATCGGGCTCTCTGCTCAACAGGGAGCCTGCTTCCCCCTCTCTCTCTGCCTGCCTCTCTGCTGCTTGTCATCTATGTCTGTCAGATAAATAAATAAAATCTTAAAAAAAAAGTTTCCCCATTATTTTATTGAAAAGATTATGTAACAATATTAAATTTTAAAAAGTCTTTTTAATCTTTTAAATTTTCATTTTCCCATATATTTGCTTTCCACTTCCTAGGATACAGAGGTGTTTTTTTTTGTCTTGTTATTTTTTACTTAATCTAGATTATAAACATTCCTCTACTTTTTCAAGACATAGTTTTCATAAGTTAACAGCTTTTAAATAGTTTGTTATGTTGATATATCATAATTCAGCAATTTCCCTAATTTTTACCTTTAGGCCATTGCTAGTTTTTTCTGTTGTAAATAAACTTCAATAAGTATCTTTAAGCATGTAGCTTTTGGTTTTATTGAGTTATTATTACATTAGGCTACATTATAAGTGTGTAATTACTTGGATAGAGGTTACAACTATCTTTAGTCATTTTGCCTCATAACTATTGCTATCAGAAAAATATCTCTTCACTTAGCTCTGAAATACCTGTTCTGAATTGTTCTGAGTAAGATACAGTATTTGTAGACCTGCCTCATACAAGGTCAGCAGTTAGTTCAACTGGTGGTCATCAAGGTGTTAATTGACTACAGGTTTCCCCTACTGTCCAAAAGTGGAGACATTCTTGTGAAACCTTTTCTAAGCTGAAATAGTGTAAAGCAAAGACACAGTTGCCATCAATTTACGTGGAAAAAATTTTGAGCATTCCCAGACCCAAAAAATAACTTCTCTTAGGCTTTTCTTTTTTTCTTAAGACAATTTTTAAAAATTATTTTTATTAACATATAATGTATTATTTGCCCCAGGGGTACAGGTCTGTGAATCGTCAGGCTTACACATTTCACAGCACTCACCATAGCACATTCCCTCCCCAGTGTCCATAACCCAGCCACCCTATTCCCTCACCCCCACCCCCCAGCAACCCTCAGTTTGTTTTAGGAGATTAAGAGTCTCCTATGGTTAAGACTATTTTTTTAAATGATTTTATTTATTTATTTGAGAGAGAAATAGCGAGAGAGAGCATGAGCTGGGAGGGAGGGAGAAGCAGGCTCCCTGATGTGGGGCTCAGTCCGAGGACCCTGCAGTCATGATCTGAGCTGAAGGCAGACACTTAACTGACTGAGCCACCTAGGCACCCCAGGCTCTTCTGATTTAAGTTGTGTCTTTTTATTTATTTTATTTTATTTTTTTAAAGATTTTGTTTATTCATTTGACAGACAGAGATCACAAGTAGGCAGAGTCAGGCAGAGAGAGAGAGGAGGAAGCAGGCTCCCCTCGGAGCAGAGAGCCCGATGTGGGGCTTGATCCCAGGACACTGGGATCATGACCTGAGCCGAAGGCAGAGGCTTTAACCCACTGAGCCACCCAGGTGCCCCGATTTAAGTTGTGTCTTACTAATACTTGCACAAAATAAGTAGAGATAAAGCACAGATAGTTCAAAGCTTTGATCACTTGATGCGGAGATGCTGAGGGTAATTCTGTGGAATCAGTGGTACCACCTTTTACTGCTTGGGGTATGTGCTGACTCTATAACAGATCACTGCAAAACACACTGAGTGCTTTTTTTTTTTTTTTTTTTTTGCCTTTTTTTCATAAAAGTGAAAATCCTTTTCGGATTTCTTTTGGTTAGTGAAAACGGATACTAATGTAGGTCTTTTATAAGAAAGCCAATTTCAAAAACTGGGAGTAACTCTGTTGTGCTTCTAATAGTGACTTCTGTAGAACCATCAGACAATGAGTTTAAAGGTGCTGTGCATTCCTTCAGTATGTTTCAAACTTGGGGTACTTTATTTGCTCATCTTACTTCACAGTCTGTGCTGTGCAAATGTAAAAGAGCAGTGTTTAAATGTGACTTAAATGTTTTTTGCTTGTAACTTCATTTCTGTAGCTTTGATTAAGTTTTTAAGAGACTGCATTTTTTTCTCACTTTTTTTAAAAAGGATTTTATTTATTTATTTGAGACAGAAAGATACAGAGAGAGAGAGAGAGCATCAGCAAGGGGAAATGCAGAGGGAGAGGGAGAAGCAGACTCCCTGCTGAGCCAGGAGCCTGATGTGGGGCTGGATCCCAGGACGCTGGGATCATGACCTGAGCTGAAGGCAGATGCTTAACCAACTGAGCCACCCAGGCGCCCTTTTTACTCATTTTTTACGAAGTTTTAAGAATGATTTGGGAAAAGCAGTAAATTATATTTTATTCTATTACAGGGAAACATTGTTCTTACAGATTATGAGTACCTAATTTTGAATATCCTGAGATTTCGAACTGATGAGTCAGATGATGTTAAATTTGCTGTTCGTGAACGCTATCCAGTTGATCATGCTAGAGCTGCTGAGCCTTTGCTTACCTTGGAAAGGTAACCTGTTTTATTTAAGCTCATTTCATAATGTATTAGAAGGTAAAATAGGTCATAGGTCAGAATATGAATGAACTGTCAACATCAGAAAAAATATTTTGTTTACTTGCATACAGTAAGTACGTTTAGATTGCTTGAACTACATAAATGCATATAAGCAACTAAGCTTCATTTGTAGGTAGCAAATGTAAGTCTTTTTATCTTAAGTCTGGTGTTAGTTCAGATGTTTATGATTTCTTGGTAAAGTGAGGGGACTTATTAGCTATTCTGTGAGAAGACAGATGTCTGTCTTGGGCAGAGTGTAAATGGAAATGATTTAGCTAAGAAAAGGGAGTACTGTAGGATAAGGTGCTGATTTTAACTCTACTCTTCTGGCTGAAAGGTTTTGCTGGCTAATAGCTATAGGAGAGCTTCTGGAAGTGTAGCATGCATCACATTCACCTGGAGGGCTTAATAAAACATAATTGGAGGGCTTAATAAAACATAATTGCTGCCCCTGCTTTCGGTGTCTGAATCAGTGGATCTGAGATAGGCCCAGGAATTTACATTTCTAACAAGTTCTCAGGTTATGCTGATGCTGCTGATCTGGGGACTAGAGCAACCTGCAGCATCGGTAAGAGTTCTTACCAAGTGCATAATTAGGTAAAGCCATTCCAGGTATTGAGATGTATCACCAGGTTCTACAATCATTTACCTGTTAACATGAAAACATCACTTACGTGTCATGTATGAACACACTGGAAGTAAGCAATATGACTTAGTTGAGAAAGTATTGATTTTTCTTAGAAAATTTGATTTCACGTCCCAGTCTGCTGCTCAGGAACCTACTACCCTTGGATAAATTACTTTTACAATTAATTTTCTTACCTACAAAGTAAACTAATTCCTCTTGTACTTGAGTACCCTGATGATCAGGCAATTTGATGTATATGAAAGTATTATGAATATGAATATTGCTGTTTGTTAAATACAAAGTAGTAAGAGGCATGTCAATTTTGTTTTCACAGATTGACTGAAATAATAGCCAGTGCACCTAAGGGTGAACTACTGAAGAGAGTTCTTAACCCATTACTTCGTGAGTAATCCTAAATAGAGCAGTGAAATGGGTTTTTCTTTCCCCCTTTTATTTATTTATTTTTATTTTTTATAATTTTTTATTTTTTTATTAACATATAATGTATTATTAGAGCAGTGAAATGTTTGCATGAAAATATAGTTTTCAGGATTCCCTTAAGAAATTAGAAGTCGTTAAAAAGTTATCTCTGCAGCTTTCCAGCAGTTAGTATAGCACACATAAAATTTGCAAGTTGGGATTTTTTATTAATTTAGTCTATTAACATTAGCCAGTTTTTGGCTATTAAAACTATCTTTTCATTCCTGATTTATGTCCTTAATATGTGGCTTAATTCCATTATATTTCTATAACTTAGGCACTGACTTCTATAATTGTATTACAGTCTCAAATTTTTTAAGTACCTGAATTGTTACTTCTTTCTTTCTTTTTTTTTTTTTTTTTTTAAGATTTTATTTATTTGACAGACAGAGATCACAAGTAGGCAGAGAGGCAGCCAGAAAGAGAGGAGGGAAACCTGATGAAGGGCTCCATCCCAGTACCCTGGGATCATGACCTGAGCCAAAAGCAGAGGCTTTAACCCACTGAGCTACCCAGGCGCTCCTTGAATTGTTATTTCTAATAACATTCAAAATAAGTAAACTAAAAAAAAAAAAAAAATTTAAAAAGCAAAATAAGTAAATTGTCATTTTCACTGCCTACTGTTATTGAGTAGATATTTATATTGGGATAAAAATTTTGAATTATATTTTGAATTTTAAATTTTATAGGAAAATACTAAAAATGATACCCTCTGCTTTTACAGCCTATGGACCAGCTCTCATAGAACACTGTCTTATAGAAAATGGATTCTCTGGCAATGTCAAAGTGGATGAAAAATTTGAAAGCAAAGGTATCCCTGCATGCTACAAGTCCATTTTCATTTATTTCCTTTTTTAAAACTATGAAAATTCTGAGAAAATAATAAAAGTGAGCAGGTAGTTATAAACTTAAAAACATTTGACCTGTGAATGTTCTGTCCATATTGTATTCCCAGCTTCTTACACTGATGTGGCCCTTTTATCTTTTTTTTTTTTTTTCTTTTTAAGATTTTATTTATTTGAGAGAAAGAGAAAGCACGAGCAGGAGGAGGGGCAGAGGGAGAAGTAGGCTTCCAACTGAAGAGATAGACCAATGTGGGGCTCAATCCCAGAACCCTGGGATCATGACATGAGCCAAGGGCAGATTGTTAACTGACTGAGCCACCCAGGTGCTCCACTTTTATCCTTCTTAAAGATTTTATTTATTTGGGACAGAGTGAGAGAGCACAAGCTGTGGGTGAGGGGTACAGAGGGAGAGGGAGAAGCAGACTCTCCACTGAGCAGGCTTGATCCCAGGGCCCTGGGATCATTACCTGTGCTGAAGGCAGATGATTAATAGACTGAGCCACCCAGGTGCCACCCTAATGTGGCACTTTATCCCTAGTAACTCACAGTTCAGTCTCTACCTTATTACTTTTCAACTTTAGAATAGTTTCTCTTCCTCTACCTAAATATTTGAAGTGGTTATCAAACAATAGTCTCTGGTACAGGCTTGAAGGAGTTGAATTATTCACCTTCTGACTAGGAAGTTAGAGTGCTTTTAGAAATAGCATTATGCATGCATTTTAATTCTGAAAGAACTGTAATGTAGCTATATGATGAATTAGGCTTTTGTAATTACTTAAGGGAACCTAACTAAATTTCCAGATTAGGATAGTAAAAATTAGAGGAAATACAAGGGAAATGGAAGACTTGGTCTTTGACAAATTTATCTGCAGATTCTCATGTAAAATTTTTAAAAAGTCCTTCTTCATGTTTCTATTTTGGGATTATGTATATATAATTTAAGGTTTAGGGATAGTATTTTTTAAAGATCCTTTTTTTTTTTTTTTTAAGATTTTATTTATTTATTTGACAGAGAGAGATCACAAGTAGACAGAGAGGCAGGCAGAAAGAGAGAGAAGGGAAGCAGGCTCCCTACTGAGCAGAGAGCCTGATGCAGGGCTTGATCCCAGGATCCTGGGATCATGACCTGAGCCGAAGGCAGAGGCTTTAAGCCACTGAGCCACCCAGGTGACCTGGGATAGTAATTTTTACTGTAAATGTTTTTATGTTTAAAATTACAAGTTAAGGCTGCCTGGGCGGTTCATTCAGTTAAGCATCTGCCTTCAGCTGAGGTCATGGTCTCAGGATAGAGTCCCACCTTGGGCTTCCCGCTCAGCATGGAGTCTGCTTCTCCCTCTGACCTTCTCCCTTCTCATACTCTCTCTCTGTAATAAATAAAATTAAAAAAAAAAAAAAGTTAAATGTTTTAGTGAATGCTTTAGAATTTAAAATGTGAATTCAGTGCAGTCCTGATCAAAATGCCAACAGGTGGTATTGTTTTTGCAGTTGTAGTGTTTTGTTTCAAATCTGATATTCTTGTGGAATAAAAGCATGTGAAGTGTTGTGGAAAACTCTGGAAAATAATAGTATAATTATAATAATATAATATATATAATAATATAATAATAATAAATTATAATATAAAATTATAATAGTGATGGAGAATAACCATTTCATACATTAAAATATATTAAGAATCTAACAGTTTTTGAAGAAATACAAAATAAACAATTCAGAGACAGGCCCAAATACATAAGGGAATTTAGTATATGAACAAAATACCCTTAAGATCATTAGGGGGAAAAATGATTCAGTAAAAAGCTATTGGAATCACTAGCTGGCCAAAACACGTCCTTAATTATATCTACTGATGACAAACATGAAATAACTATATCTGCTTTTCTCGAACATTTTTTATTATTCCATCAACACTTTTCTGTTTTATACATGGTTGTTTAATAGTTGTTAATTGACACTTGATTGGCACTCCTTTTTTCCATTTTTATTCTGTAGATATTGAAAAAATACTTGTTTGTCTGCAGCAAGCAGAAGACTATATGAAAACAACATCCAACTTCAGTGGAAAGGTAGTACCACATATACTTACTGTATATTGTTGTGGTTTTATTTATTTAGATTTTCAGAATTTAGGTTCATTAAGGATCACTACCTTTAAGTGTTTTGTTGTAACTTGGAAATTCAACATCTATAATATGGTTATTCTAGGGTTTGTTTTTTTTTAAATTCATGTTGGGTTTATAATTTTTCTTCTGTTTCTTTTGTAGAAAGTATTAGGTCAAGTCATTACTGGTATACCAAGAAAGTTGAGGGATTTGAAAATATATCCTCTTAGGTTGATTTTTAGATAGAGGAGCATACTTTAATTTGCTAGTGCTTTTTTAAAAATTAGTGATTTACATCACTATTTTTTATATTTAAAATTTCTTTTAATTTATATTCAGTTAGCCAACATATAGAACATCATTAGTTTCAGATGTAGAATTCAGTAATTCATCAGTTGCATATAACCCAATGCTCATCACACCATGTGCCCTTCTTAAAGCCCATCACCCAGTTATCCCATCTCCTACCCACATCCCCTCCAGCAACCCTCAGTTTCTTTCCTCAGTTAAGAGTCTCTCCTGGTTTGTCTCCCTCTCTGATTTCTACCCATTCTTTACATCACTCTAATAGGCAAATATCCTCTGAATTATCTCATATCTTCTTTTTTTTCTGTATTCGAAGTATAACTTTATTTATAACAGAAGTTCAGAAAAAGTTCTGATTAATTACACCTAAATTCAGTGCAAATATGCTTGCTCAGTTTTTTAAATGAATTAAAATTTCCTACCAACAAAGTGAATCTAAGACTTTCTACTGGAAGTAAAATGCTTCTGGTTGTTTTCAAAGTTGCAGAACATCTAAAAGTGGAAAGAAAAAAGTGTAGTGTACACGTATAATCCCACCATTTTATCAAATCACTAGTTTTCATTTTCTTCCTTATTTTTTCTTGTCCATATGAAAAAGACAGTATTATTTAATAATACTTAGTCTAGAAACATCATTTAAGAATTGATGCAATCAATAGACAAATGCAGTAGATTATTTAAAACTGGAATATTCTTATAAGTTAAATTAATAAAATTTATATCAGTCGTGGAAAGTAAATCTTTGTTAACTATGAAGAGAAAGAGTTTTAATATTGGATTTTTGTAGGGGTACATCATTCAGAAAAGAGAAATAAAACCAAGCTTGGAAGTAGATAAACCGACTGAAGACATATTCACGTAAGCATGTAGGCATGAGTCATTTTGCTTTGGATGTTTATTAATGTTCTTGAATGATATAATAAATATGTTTTACAGGTATGAGGAATTTCATCCTTTCTTGTTTTCTCAACATTCACAATGTCCATATATAGAATTTGAATCATTTGACAAGGTGGGTTTTCCAATTCTGTTTTTTGACCAGTTAGCACAATATGAGTTATTAAATTAATACCAACTTGCTTTGATTGCTAAATTGAAAATATTTTTGGGTTTACAGTCTCTGTGAATCTGGACAATAAAAATCAATACAGTCACAAATAAAAACTATTGAAAAGTTTTGTTGACCTCTTATTTCAAGATGAAGGACCAAAGATTTTAACTTCAGTTGATTCTGTTTATCTATAGGATACATTTACTGGGAATCTGTTCAAGTTCTTTGAGTAGTGTTATAACATAAAATGGACTCTAAAACTCTATGTATGTAAGTTGAAGTAGAGACCGTGGTTTTTTTTTTTTTAAACTAGTCATTATCTTTTTTTTTTTTTTCCCTAATAAGGCTGTGGATGAATTTTATTCCAAGATAGAAGGTCAGAAAATAGATTTAAAAGCTTTACAACAGGTATGGTATTGCTGAAAACATTTATATTAAACCAGCTAGCCTTAGTGTGGTTTGCTGTGTAAATGATGCTTTCATAATAGGAATGGGCAGCCTTTCAGAAGTGGTATGGGAATGCCCTGATCCCTTGGTTTATTGATAAAGGTCCGGGGGAGGTCTCATTGTTGAAAAGCATTCCCTCATTTGTTCCATCAGTATGTCAGATATTCTGCAAAATGCAAAATACAGTGGGAAGGTGGGCCTGTTATTTATTCCTTAGTATAATTTGCGTTATTACAGCAACCCGAAGCTTCTCAAACTTTACTGTTAAGGGAATACTCTTCCAAGGAGATTTTTAAATAGGCCAAAAGAGAGGGAAATGTCCTTTCTGTACAATTTAATCATATTTATCATTAAACTGTTTTTTTCTAAGTGGGCTAACTCTGCAGGAGAGTTTAATACGCTGTTTCCCCAGCACATTTGACCACAGTTTTGGAGCATTGCTGCAGAACAGCTTCAGAAATTAGCCACAGTCACTTTTGATTTGAAGGGGATTTGATTTTTCAAAAATATTAAGTAGGGGCACCTGGGTGGCTCAGTCATTAAGCATCTGCCTTTGGCTCAGGTCATGATCCCAGGGTCCTGGGATCAAGCCCTGAATCAGGCCACGTGCTCAACGGGGAGCTTGCTTCTCGCTCTCCCCTGGCTTGTTGTGTTCCCCCCCTCGCTCTCTGTCAATTAAATAAGTAAAATCTTAAAAAATATATTAACAGGTAAAGTCTTGAAATATGTGTGCAAAAATTTGAAATTATCTGAATCCCTTTACCCTCCCTCTATTGAATAAAATTAAACAGCACAATTTCAAAGCAGGTGGATTGAATGAATTAAATAGTGTTACTGCCACACGGTGGCAGTACATGAACCAGTACAGTTATTTCATGGAACCATTGAATGGCATGTTTTTATGTGCATCAGAATATCCATGAATTATCTTAGTGATCACTGTGTTCTTCTAATAGTCACTGTTGTGTTTTTTAAATTTTTTTAAGATTTTATTTATCAGAGAGAAAGAGAGCACAGGCAGGGGGAGGGGCAGAGGGAGAGGGAGAAGCAAACTCTCCTCTAAGCAGGGGCCCAATTTGGGACTTGATTCCAGGACCCTTAGCCAAAGGCAGATACTTAACTGACTGAGCCACCCAGGTGTCCTCCACCCCCGCCTTTTCTTAAAAAATTTTTTCTTAAGATTTTATTTATAGTCTTCATTCTTAAAATTCAGATTTTTAACTACCTTATTTATTTTAAAGATTTTATTTATTTGTCAGGGAGAGCAGGAAACAGAGAGTGAGCATAAACAGGGAAGCAGCAGGCAGAGGGAGAAGCAAGCTCCCTCCTGAGCAGGGAGCCCGGTGCAGGACTCTATCCCAGAACCCTGAGATCATGACCTGAGCCAAAGGCAGAGCTTAACTGACTGAACCACCCAGGTGTCCCAATTCAAATTTTTTAAATATTATATCCAGCATTCAAACATTCACTAATTGGTGATGTTATTACTGGTGTTAGAAAACTTGCTCCAAATCAGTCAACTTGAAATGTAAATGATACATGATAAAATGCTATATAGAAGGTAAATGAATACCATGAGCCTTTGTGGCATTAATTTAGGAAAAAGAGTGCTCTGTAGAGATGATGATGAGAAAATTAAAGCAGCAATAAAATAAAAAGAAGCTATTTTGGTAATTTATGTTCTTTAAGAATGCATTTCCCCAAAACTTCACTTTTATGTGTTAGGAAGACAGTGTCTTGAATTTTGCCTTGAATAATGCAGGGGCATTAGGGGCTTATATTACATACAGTGTCACCAGTAATCAAAATACCTTCTTATATAGGGAAGGGGAAGTGGGTAGACAGGAGAGGTAATTTGAGAGCTTGAAACACTTTGGGGTAGGATAGACCTGGGAGGTGGGCTATAGGAACCTTCGCTAGCAAGGTGACAATATTTAGGGGGCTGGAGGTGGGATAGCGAGTTTCAGGACAGACGAGAGAAAAGGTACAAAAGGCATGAGAAATCTAATTTTTAAAAATCTGTTTTGTCTACAAAAGGAAAAACAAGCATTGAAGAAATTAGATAACGTCCGAAAGGATCATGAAAACCGCTTAGAAGCTCTTCAGCAGGCTCAGGTATTATGTTTAGCTTTTTCAGTTTTCATAAATGGTAACTTTAAAAAAAAGATGACTTTAAATACAACAGTGTGTGTTAACTAAGTGGAATTAAAAACTGAAAAAATGGTAACTTTAACTGGCTTTATAGTAAACATTTTTGTTTATTTCTTAAGGAAATAGACAAACTTAAAGGAGAGCTCATAGAAATGAACCTACAAATAGTTGACAGAGCCATTCAGGTTGTTCGAAGTGCTTTAGCCAACCAGATAGATTGGACAGAAATTGGGTTAATTGTGAAAGAAGCCCAGGCTCAAGGAGACCCAGTTGCAAATGCAATTAAAGAATTAAAACTACAAACAAATCATGTTACAATGCTACTAAGGTAAGTTTGATTCTTAGTTAAGTAGTTCATGTTTGTTTTCAGTTTGCTATTTAATTGTTCACTGTATTCATTTAAAATTTTTTCTCTTTTATTTGGAAATTTATCCTCAAAGATAAAGGAAAAACAATTTACATTGAGATGAGACACCTATTTAATTTTTTAAAAGATTTTGTTTAGAGAGTGAGAGAGTGTGAGCATGTGCATGAACACACGTGGGGTTGGATGGAGAAGGAGAGAGAATCCGAAGCAGTCTCCATGCCGAGCGTGGAGCCCATCATGGGGCTCAGTATCATGACCCTGAGATCACGACCCCAGCCAAAACCAAGAGTTAGGCACTTAACCGACTGTGCCACTTAGTGTCCCCCTCAAATGCACCTATTTAAATATTGTAAACCATCTATAATGTAATTGAGGAAAAAAAATTGAAAACAAAGTGATGTCATTGACATTAGTGAAATACTATTGAATATTTTTAATAGAAATCCATACTTATTATCAGAGGAGGAAGATGACGATGTTGATGGTGACATCAGTGTTGAAAAAAATGAAACTGAACCACCAAAAGGAAAAAAGAAAAAGCAGAAGAATAAACAGCTGCAGAAGCCTCAGAAAAATAGGCCATTGCTTGTTGATGTTGATCTCAGCTTGTCAGCATATGCCAATGCCAAAAAGTAAGTGTTAAATATAAGTATGAATTGTAGGTAAAATACTATCTGCAATAAATCAGTTAGGATATTAAGGATAATATATGTATATCTGTTTTGTATGTATGTGCTTTGGGGTGAAAACACTTTCAGATCTCATTTTGTGCATTATACAACTTTGTTTTCATAGGGAACATATAAAATAAAGATGGGTAATGCACAAAACTTGTTTCGTATGATTTGAGAATCTAAAATAAGATAAATAGAGAGCTAAAGAATAAAGATTCTACTTAAAATTAAGAGAAATATATTTTTCTAGATACTATGATCACAAGAGGTATGCTGCTAAGAAAACACAAAAGACCGTTGAAGCTGCTGAAAAGGTACTTAGTATTTCTTAGAGTGAACGTGAACGGTTTTCCTCTGCTTTAACTTAACGGCCCTAATTATTTCTTCTATTTAAATGAGGTTTTCTAATTCAGAGATATCTTTCAAATTTGATTTTGCTTTAGATCTGTGTATTTCCAGTATTCATTTTCTTCCCCAAACCTCCTTCCCAGTCTTCCCTTTCTCAGTAAATAGTGCTTTCTTTTTTCCCTTTACTTGGCTTACAAATGTTGGACTCATCCTAGACCCTCTGCTCATAGACCGTATCCATTCCCTCATCAGCATAGCCATGTAGCTTTTCGTAAAGGGCGCAGCCAGAATCTGGCCACTAATTAGTCCAGGCCCCCATCATCTCTGTTCATATGGTCTGTAGTAATAGCCTCTTCCCGGGTCTCTCTCATTCTGCCCTTCTCCCCCTGTAGTTTGTTCCTCACACAGCAGCCATAGTGATCTTTTTAAATAAAAAATACAATTATTGGGGCGCCTGGGTGGCTCAGTGGGTTAAGCCTCTGCCTTCGGCTCAGGTCATGATCCCGGGGTCCTGGGATCGAGCCCCACATCGGGCTTTCTGCTCTGCAGGGAGCCTGTTTCCTCCTCTCTCTCTCTTTCTGCCTGCCTCTCTGCCTACTTGTGATCTCTGTCTGTGAAATAAATAAATAAAATCTTAAAAAAAAAAAAATACAATTATCTCTGTCTGTTCAAAATCCGGTTGCTTCCCATCTTACTTAAGACAGTTCAGGGGTGCCTCGGTGGCGTAGTCTGTTAAGCATGGTTTTGGCTTAGGTCATGATCTTAAGAGTTGTGAGATTGAACCCCATGTCAGGCTCTGTGCTCAGCCTGGAGTTCGCTTGGGTTTCTCTCTCCCTCTCCTACTGCTGTCCGCCCCCACCCCGCCCCTTGGCCGCTCTCTCAGATCAAAACAAAACAAAACAAGACAGTTCAAAGCCCTTCTTCTGTCCTAAAGGCCCTACATGATCTGCTCCCCTCCCATCTAATCACCTGCACTCCTTTTGCTACACTCTTTCCAGCTACACTGGGAATTTAGCTGTCCCTGAAACAGACCCACGCTGCCTTCTCAGGAAATACGTGCTTGCTGCTCTTTCTTTTGAGAATGTTCTTCTCTCAGAATTTCCATGGTTTGATCCCTCCATTCATTGGCATGTTTTCTAAAATGAGACTTGATGAGACCTTTCTTGACCACTCTTACTAAAAGTAGTACTATCCTCAATCACTCCCTCTCTGCTTTATTTTTCTTTTTAAAAAACACCCCTTCCAGGGCCCCTGGGTGTCTCAGTTGTTAAGCATCCGCCTTCAGCTCAGGTCATGATCCCAGAGTCCTGGGATTGAGCCCCGCATCGGGCTCCCTACTCAGCAGGAAGCCTGCTTCTCCCTCGCCTGCTCCCCCTGCTTGAGTTTCCCTTCTCGCTGTCTCTCTCTGTCAAATAAATAAAATCTTAAGAAAAAAAAAACAACAGCAACAAAAAACCCTCCCAGCATATGTTTATTTGTCTTCCTTCTAGAATACAGGTTGTATGAAAGTAGTATCTTTGTTTTATTCATTATGTTGTCCCAGCCCCTGGAATATCGCCTGGAACATAGTAACATTAATATCTGTTAAATGAGTGGCCTTCATGACTTGGCCCTCTGTTTGCCTCTCCAGCCTCATTTCTTGACATTTTTACCTTGAGCACTACTTTCTGGTCAAGCTGGCCTTTTCTTTTTTTACTTACAGTGTTCTTCTTCCTATTTTTGCCTTAATAATTCTATTAACCTTTCAGGCTTCAGCCCAAATGCCATTTCCTCAGAAATACCTTGTTTGACCTAAGCAGTTATAAATTAGTTTCCCTTGTTTACTCTCACAGCATCCCTAGAAGTGATTAACCTGTGTCTTATTTGAATAATTATGTGTTTTATATTTGTATCTTCCCTAGACCCCCTGGTGGGGTGGGGGTGAGAACTTTGTCTTGTTCACTTGTGTGTCTCAGCATCAAGTCCAGAACCTATTACTTGGTAGATACTCAATATCTGGTAAACAAATGATACTTTTTGTAATTTGTAGGTCTTGAGCAAATATTTGTATGTGGCAAATCTTTGACTTAAATTATTTTAATATTTAAGACAAAAAATCTTTACTTTTCATGTGTGTATGGGATGTGTGTGTAAATAGTGCCATTTTGTGACATTTAAAAATGATTTATTGCCCTGTCATTTATTGGTGTTTTATATATATATGTATATATATATGTTATTTAATTTATCTATCTATTTATTTTTGAGAGAGAGAATGCATATGTTCCTGTGCACGTGGTGGGGGTGGGGGGGAAGAGGAGCAGAGAGAGAGGGAGAGAGAATCAAGCAGGCTCCATGCTCAGTGCTGAACCCAGTGCGGGACTTGAGCTCACAACCCTGAGATCATGACCTGAGCTGAAATTAAGAGTCAGATGCTTAACAGACTGAGCCACCCAGGACCTCTTTGCTTGCTGTTACTTAAATATGTTCTTAACAAAATTTTTTTAACAAATTATTTAAAAACTCTCTTCTTATAAATAGGCATTCAAATCAGCAGAAAAGAAAACAAAGCAAACCTTAAAAGAAGTCCAGACAGTTACCTCTATTCAGAAAGCAAGAAAAGTATATTGGTAAGTGTTAAACCTTTTAAAAATACAGTTTTTTTGTTTTTATTAAAATTATACATGCACATTGTTTAGAAAATCAAGCAGTTCTGTAAAGCTTGTTGCAAAAACCAGTAGCCCTGCAACATTTTACCCCTACTCCTGTTGCCTCCTCTCTATAGAAACTATTGTTAGCTCTTTCAGCTGATTACTTTTGGTATATCCCTCCCTTTCTCTTAGTAATATGTTTATATTGCTGCTTCTTAATTTTTCAGTTTTATACTCTATTAATGACTTCCACTGTGTAAGATGAAGATTTTATTCTTTCCGCTTGTGTTGCATCACACACATACACACCACTCAGCCTCCTAATAAAGGTATAGCCTAATTTGCCACAGTTGATATTCAGCATTAATATTATATTAATATTTTCATTGTAGTTACAGCTGAGTCATATGACATTATGTTTCTTTTCTTTCCCTGCTCAGCTTTTTGTCTTCCCTAAAGGTAAAAATTGTTGTTTCATTTACCTTTCTCTTCCAAGTGTGTTCAGGCACGTTGGAATTCTATCAGCATCATCTTGCAGAAATCTCTCATGAGCTTTTTGACCTACTTTGTTCTAGATCAGTTACTCTTAACATCTTGAGATCTTTTATTCTTAACCTGGAAATTCTCTTTACCCCTCTCTGTTTTGGATTCTCTGTTCTGGATCTCATAATTCCTTTTTCTCCACTGATGGAATATGTGTTCTAGAGGCTACATGAGAAGGATGTATAAGATGTAAAATTTTTGAGGTCTTATATATATATAAAAAAATTATTTTTACCTTTATACCTAATTGTTTGGCTGGGTGTATATTCTGGTTTGAAAATGTTTTCTTCAGACTTTTAAAGTCATTGTTTATTGTGTTAACTTTCAGATTTGATCTTCAAAAGTTTGATGTCATTTTGATAATACTTTATTGAAAATTTGTTTTTTTTTTAATGCTCAGAAAGAAACCAAACCCAAAATGCAAAAAAACAAAACAAAAAAAAAAACAACAACTTATTTTTGTCTTTCTATAAACTTGTAGATCTTTGTTCTCTGTTTTCTAAAATTTCACAATGGTACAGGTTGGTGAAGATGTTTTAATCCATTATGCTAGATTCTCTGTGACACTTTTTAATTTAGAAACTTTCAGTTCTGAGAAATTTTCTGGAAATATTTCTTAGCACTCTGTAGATTGTGTTTTCCTTTTTGTTTTGTTATTTTTTTTTCTTTCTGTCTGGAAGTCTTATTTATTAAATGTGGGACTCCTTGGATGGTCCTCCAGTTTTCTTGCATTTTCTGTTTTTCAACTGTTTATCATTTTGTTCTTTATTCTGAGAGATTTCTGTATCTTTCAGTTCTTCCCCTGAATTTTTAAATGTTTTATTCCTTCCTGTCATGTTTTTATTTTAATCTATTTTTTGTTTTTGTTTTTTTGTTGTTACTTTTTTAAAACTTCCTTCTTCACTTTCTTAATACTGAGAATAGTTTTGATGTATTAATTTTATTTAAAAGTAATCTTTTCTTGCAGGTCTTCTCTAAGGTTTTTGGTTTGGGGTTTTGTTTGTTTGTTTGTTTGTTTTTAATTTGTTGGGTTTGTCTTCAACTTTTGTTAAAGACTTTTATTAATGTCTCGTAGTCCTAAATTGTCTATTCACATTATTGTCTGTTCACATTTATACTAGACTATTAAAATGCTGATTGGAAGTTCTCTCTGGGTGGCTGGGCTTATAAAATGATGTACGTGGGCCATGTTGTGTGGAACTCTCAATGTCTTTAGCTTTTTGACTCTTTAGCTGGTCTCAGTTTTCAGGAAAGACTTTTTACCCTGCTTGCAAAGTGAAGACCTGGCTGTCATAATTTTGGAAGCCCAGTGGGAATAGATTGGGGAAGTTTAGTATCCAGTAATTCATACATTCACTTAATTGCCCTCTTTTATTTAGGTTACCTCTACTTAGCAACTGTGCCACTTTTCCCCTAATTCAGAGATACTCTTTGTACACTTTCTAGAGAATTCTGGCCTTCTGTTAGGATATGGAAGGCACAGCTTACTATCATGTTCAGAGCTGGAAAAAAGATCTAGGGAAGTAACTGCTTCTTGATCAGATTTTTGGCCAGTTTTCCTGTTTTTAACCCCATCTTAAACCCTATTTCTAACAGTACCATGTACTGCTATTTTAAGCTTTTTATGGGTTACACAGTGATTTGTTTCTTTGCTTTTTCCATTGTCAGCCTAGATTTCAGGTTCTTAAGTCCAGTAATTTTTCCATTTCTCAGTATACTGTTGGATTTTTCTTCTCTCTTTCTCCTTTCTTTTCCTCACATCTCTGTTGATGAATAGAATAGACCTGTAATTTTCATATCTCTTGTTTTTCTTAGGTATTGGTCTCAAGGTAACATTACTTCATAAAACAGATTGGGAAGTGTTCCTTTATTTTTTTAAATATTTTATTTATTTGAGAGAGTGGGAGGGAGAGAATGAACGGGGGGAGTGGCAAAGAGGGTGAGAGAGAGAAGCAGACTCCTTGCTGAGCAGAGAGCCCAATGTGGGACTCCATCCCAGGACCTGGAGATCATGACCTAAGCTGAAGGCAGATACTTAACTGACAGAGCCAGTTAGATGCCTCTGGGAAGTGTTCCTTTATCAATTGTCCTTGGTTGTTTGACAAAATTCCACCTGTGAGGCTGAGTAGTCTTGAAGTTTTCTTTTTGGGAAACTTTTTCACTACAGATTAAAATTCTTTAGTACTTCTCAGATTGTCTGATTTTGATTAGTAGTATTTCCCTAAGACTTTGTCTATTTCTACAGTTTGGAATGTACTGGCCTAAAGTTTTGATGTTCCACTAACCTTTTAACATCTGTATAGTCTTTAATACCTTCCTTTGTCATTTATGATAATTGTCATTGTCCTTCTCTTTTTCTTGGTTAGTCTGGCCAGAGGATTTTCAGTTGTATTAATACCTTTCAAGAACCAGTTTTGACTGTTGATCTCCACTATTATATATGTGCTCTCTATTTTATTATTTTCCTCTTTCTACCTTCCTTCAGGATTCATTTGCATTTCCCTTTCTGATTTCTTGAGATGGAAACTTAGTTCATTGATTTTTTTTTTTTCTCCCAGCCTCTTATCTTTTCTAATACATATTTCAGGCAGTAAATTTCCCTCTAAGCTTGGCTTTAACTATATTCCATATTGTATTTTCATTGTCTTTCATGTGAAAATATGTTCTAATTTACATTGTGATTTCTTTACCCATGTGTTATTTAGAGTTAAGTTTATTAATTTTTGAACCTATGGAGCTCTTTTAGTTCTCTTTTTGCCATTGATTTAACTTAAGTTGCATAATGTTCATTTATGGTATTCTGAATTATCTCAACCCTTTGACATTTGTTATTGAAACTTGCTTTATGGTCCAGCATATTTGGAGTATACTTTATTTACAAATGTTTCATAAGTATTGAGAAGAATGTTCTATAGTTGTTAAGTGCATTTCCCTAAATATCAGTTAGGTCACATTCATTAATCAAATCTTTGGAATCTGTACTAATTCTTTTTTTAATGATTGTTTTCTCAATTACTGAGAGTTGTGTTAAGAATCACATAATTGTGCATTTGTTTCTCCTTTTACTTCTGCTAGTTTTTGCTTTATAAGGTGATAAAAATATAGAGCTGTTATCTTTCCAGTAAATTGAGCCTTTTGTTAACTGTAATCAAATGTTCTTTTAACTTGTAACTTCTTTTTTTCTTCTGTGTGAGATACTAAAACTAAATCAACTTTATTTTGGTTAGTGTTTGCATGATTTATTATTTTCCATCATTATATTTCAACCTTTTTATATTCTTACATTTTAAAGCTGTATATATTATTTTCCAGTCTGACAGTCTGCATTTTACCTGGAGAATTGACTACCTTTACATTTAATGTAATTTCTGATATATATGGGTTTAAATCTAACCATTTTACTGTTTCTTTCTATTTGTCCCAATTTTTCTTTACTCTTTTTTGTCTTTTTCCCTCCTTTTGATTTTTTTTCCTTTTAGTTATATGCTTCTTTACTAAGATTATTACAAAATTTTTACATCTTTATGTTTCTCATTTTCTGTCCTTGCGGGTTTATGTCATTTTAGAAACCTCTTTACCATCAATAAGGCAGTTGTTAAATAAGTATAGTACATCCATTCAGCAGTGAAGACTTTTTTTTTTTTTTTTTAAAGACTGTATTTTTAGGTAATCCCTACACCTAACATGGGGCTCAAACCCACAACCCTGAGATTAAGAGTCACATGCTTCACCAGCTGAGCCAGCCAGGTGCCCCAAGAAGACATTTTTATTTATTTATTTATTTTAATTTTTATTTTTTTTAAGAAGACATTTTTAAATGAAAAAGAAAGTATTTTCAGAATAGTTTGTGTTGTGTCCAAAAGAAAAGGTTTAGAATAGCGTTTTATTTTAGCTTTTGTATGTATAAAGAAACTCCAGGGAGGCATACACAGAAAGCTAATAACAATGGATTACTGTTTGATAGTGGTAATAGGAACTGAAGGTGGATGCAGGATCTCTCCGTATACCTTTTTGTATAATTTTAAAAATTTCTAAATTGTGTATATGTATCAATAAAAAAAATCAGATTAGAAGACAGGAATAATATTGGGACATATAAAGGAGTTTAGTGTAATGCCTATGCTTAATCTATCATTTTTAACCAGAAGTTTTTAAATTGTAGATTAAGTCATAAACATTATTATCTTGGTGGTCAGGTGTAATATAGGAAATATTTCTGTTCATCTCTATTTTATGTCATTCTCTAAATGCAAGTATACAATCTTTACTTTTTTTTTTTTTTTTTTTAAGATTTTATTTTATTTATTTGACAGAGAGATCACAAGCAGGCAGAGAGGCAGGCAGAGAGAGAGGAGGAAGCAGGCTCCCTGCTGAGCAGAGAGCCCCATGCGGGGCTCGATCCCAGGACTCTGAGATCATGACCTGAGCCGAAGGCAGCGGCTTAACCCACTGAGCCACCCAGGCGCCCCTACAATCTTTACTTTTTATCATGGTACATATTAATCATGAAAACCCAAATTACTTTGTTGAGAAAAGTTATAATTTTATATTTCTAAAGGTAATTTTTGCTCTATAAATAAGTGTAAAGAATATCATGTCTGTAAACATTCAGTTGAAGAGAGGATGGAAAAACTTTTCTTTCTTACCAGTAGCCCCAAAACCTGGCCAGTGCCCCACTGGAAGAAAGATAAACCTAGGGACCATGTGACGTTTTATGCTTTTGCTTTGTGTAACTCATCATTACGTTATCCTTAAGTTTAAGAAGGATCTGTTTGCAAGTGAGATAAGGAGAAAACATACTTTTTTTAAACATAGAATTTGGGCACCTGGGTGGCTCAGTTGTTAAGCGTCTGTATTTGGCTCAGGTCAGGATCCCAGCATCCTGGGATTGAGCCCCATATATGGGGCTCCGTGCTCAGCGGGGAGCCTGCTTCTCCTCTCCACCTCCCCCATACTTGTCTTCCCTCTCTCACTATCTCTGTCATAAGTAAATAAAATCTTAAAAAAAAAACATAGAATTTAATTACCTTCTAAGGTAATTTGTATTGCAAGATTTCAATAAAAATTCAGTTTGATGCTTTAAGAAATTAAATCATCAAATTAAAAAAAATAAATCATCAGTCTTAACATATGAAGGTAGGATAGCTTCACTGGTTTTTTTTGTTTGTTTGAGAAAAGGATGTGAATTCAGGTGACTATAAAGGGAAAGAATGTTAACTTTTTTTCTTTCAATTTGATAGGTTTGAGAAATTTCTGTGGTTCATTAGCTCAGAGAACTATCTAATTATAGGTGGACGAGATCAGCAACAGAATGAAATAATTGTGAAAAGATACTTGACAACAGGTAAGTATGATTAAAATTTTAAAGAATTTTCCCCTAATTAATTGCGTCAGTTATCTCAGTATGAGAACAGGTTTTCATCTTCTACTCCTTTGCTTGACAGGTTTAATTGATAGAGTTTCATTGTGGTGGCTTATTGTTTGTTGAATATGTGTTTTGACACTTAAAACTCTCATTTTAAGTGAATAGTCCTAAAGTAGTAGTGCTGAGCTAATCTGTAGTATTGGACTTTTTTTTTTTTTTTTTTTTTGAAGATTTTATTTATTTGACAAAGATCACAAATAGGCAGAAAAGCAGGCGGGGGCGGAGAAGCAGGCTCCCCACTGAGCAGAGAGCCCAGTCTCAGGACCCTGAGATCATGACATGAGCTGAAGGCAGAGGTTTAACCCACTGAGCCACCCAGGGCCCCAGTATTGGACTTTTGATTCCCTGCTGCATTAACAAAATAGCTTTCAGTCCTCCAGAATTATTGTACATCAAAATTTTAAAGGCTTGATTTTTTTAGTGCTGAAGTTTATAACTTTTTTTTTCACATTTAGAAATAGGACTTAAGCCCTGTAGTGTAAGGCTTCTCATTTTTGTTGGCTGATAACCACCACCTCACTGTGGTTGAACCCTCAGTGTGGGGTGTCTGAAATCAATAATCAGAACTAATTCGATGTCCACTGAAGATCCCAAACCAGAAAAGGAAGAAACAGGGATCAGGTTATTACATGGGGCTCAGGGCTTGGTCTCTTGTTTTCTGTAGCTCTGTTAATTGGGAGCTGAGCCTTTCTTGGAGCACTATGAGTTTTTCTCTTTGAATTTCAAATCCCAGACAAACTGTCATGGCAAACAGTAGCTGCTCATTTTACCTTTTAGGAACTGTGCACTTTCTTTTTCCCTTAAAAAAAAGAGGAAAGATCTGACTTGTGCATTTGTTTGTTCATTTGGTTATTCATTGGTATCAAATACTTAGAATATAACTTGAAGCCATCATTATGGCTTACAAGCCTTCTGGCTTCTTCTCCAGCTTCATTTCTTACCACTCTGGCCTTAGTAGTCTGGCCTTCTGACTCCTCTTCATACATGTCAAACATCCATGGTCCTCAGGACCTTTACATTTGCTAGGATAACTCATCTCCATGTGTCTCTCACCCTCTAGTCTAGATTGACTTACATGGTAACTCAGCAAGTTTGTGAGAAAAATAGGAAACACACAAGGACTATTAAGTCCTAGGCTGAGAATTGGCACTTGGTCCCAGAGGCCACATTCCACCAAGGCAGATCATGGGACAGACCCAGACACAAGGGATGGGGAAGTGACTCCACCTCTTGAAGAGAAGCTTCAAAGTCACAGAGCAAAGAGGTATGGATAGTGGAGGAGAGAGGAACTGACCATTTTTGTAATCTATCATATTAGCATTGCTTTTCTATAAGGAAGCCTGTGAGAGCTCTCCTAGGGGTGGGAAATGGACTTTTCCTTATAGGCCTTCTTATACCCTTTGGATTTTGAACCCATTAAACCCATTAAAAAAAAAAAAAAGAAACAGGACTTAAAGTATTCTCATTTGTTTTTAAGGGGACATTTATGTACATGCTGATCTTCATGGAGCTACTAGCTGTGTAATTAAGAATCCAACAGGTAATGTATTTCTCTATTCAGAACTTTAATTCCTTTCTTTAAAATATTTTTAGTGTAACTATAAGACAAAAATTGTTAATTGTTATTTTAAAGGACACTTTATAATGATAAAAGGGTCAATTCATCAATAAGATATAACTATTATATATATTTTAAGGGTTTTTTTATTATTTATTTATTTGTCAGAGAGCAAGAGAGGGAGACACACACAAAACAAGCAGGGGGAGTAGCAGGCAGAGGGAGAAACAGTCTCCCTGCTGAGCAAGGAGCCCGATGCAGGACTTAGTCCCAGGACCTGGGATCATGACCTGAGCCAAAGGCAGACACCCAACCAACTGAGCCACTCAGGCATCACAGTCACTAAGACATAACTATTATAAACATTTATGCACCCAACAACAGAGACCTAGAATTAGCCATGAAGCAAAATCTGATAGAATCGAATCAACAGTAGATCAACAGAATAGATTAACATTAATAATTCAGGACTTTAATACCTTTCAGTCATGGGTAGAATAACGAGGTGTAAGATCAACAAGGAAATAGAAGATTCTGACAATACTGTAAGTTAACTAGACCTAACACATATCTGGTATCCTCACCTAATAACAATAGATTACTCAAGTGCATCTGGTATGTGCTCCAGGTTAGAACATGTAATAGTCTATAAGACAAGTCTTTAGAGCTACTGAAATCATACAGAGTAATCTTTCTGACCATAATGGAGTGAATTTAGATGAAAATTTCAAAAATTCACAAATGTGTGGAAATTAAACACATTCAGAAGTAACCAATGTCAAAGAGAAAATGATAGGGAGTGTTGGAATAATACTTTGAGATGACTGAAGTGAAACACAATGTATCAAAATGATATGAGTTGCAGCTAAAACAGTGCTTAGTGAGAAGTTTTTATCTGTAATGTTTATATTTAAAAAAGAAAAGCTCTAAGAAATGAAAATGTATACATAAGCTCTAGAAAAAGAAAAGCAAATAACCCATAGTAAGGAAAGGAACTAATAAAGTTTAGAGTGGACATGGGGTGCCTGGGTGGTTCAGTGGGTTAAGCCTCTGCCTTCGGCTCGGGTCGTGATGTCGGGGTCCTGGGATCGAGCCCCATATCGGGCTCTCTGCTCAGTGGTGAGCCTGCTTCCCCCTCTTTCTCTGTCTACTTCCTCTTTCTCTGTCTACTTGTGATCTCTCTCTGTCAAAAAAAAAGTTTAGAGAGGAAATAAATGAAACAGAATAGAAGAACAGTAGATAAAATCAGTGAAACCATAGTTGGTTCTTTGAAAAAGGTCAACAAAATTAATAAAATTTTAGCTGGACTGACCAAAAAATAAGAGAATATTCAAATTCCTAACATTAGGAACACAAAGGGGGATATTAATACCAACTTTACAGAAATGAAAAGGATTAAAAAAAAATTCACTAGCTTCCTCTTAGAAAACACCGTTTTAGAAATACTTGTATGGTATTCCGTGTAGTAGATGTGTAGTAAGACAGCAGAACTCTGTTTTCTTATAAGTGGCTTCTTGAACCAAAGAAGGAACTTTTCACTGTGATAAAAATTAGATCTATAGTCTATTTCTGGAACATGTATTAAATACCTTTGGAAGCTGCATTTGCTGAGGGGAAAAAAGATTGTGAGGGCATGCTACATACAATTGTATAACAACAAATTAAATGATCTAAATGAGACAGGCTCATTCCTAGAAAGACACAGACTACCAAAAACTGACTCAAGGAGAACTAGAAAATGAAAACAAACCTATAACAAGTAAAGAGATTGAAATAGTAATTTAAAAACAACAACAACAACAGTGGAGTGCCTGGGTGGCTCAGTGGGCTAAGCCTCTGCCTTCGGCTCAGGTCATGATCTCAGGTTGCTGGGATTGAGCCCTGCATTTGGCTCTCTGATCAGCAGAGAGCCTGCTCCCCCCTCTCTCTGCCTGCCTCTCTGCCTACTTGTGATCTCTCTCTGTCAAATAAATAAATAAAATCTTTAAAAGTAATAATTAAAAAAATAAACTTAAAAAAAAACCAGAAACAAAAACAAAAAAAAACCTAGGGGTGCCTGGGTGGTTCAGTCAGTTAAGTGTCTGCATTCATCTCAGATCATGATCCCAGAGTCCTGCTTCTCCCTCTCCCTCTGCCTGCTGCTCCCCCTGCTTGTGTTCTCTGTCTCTATCAAATAAATGAATAAAATCTTAAAAAAAAAAAATACCCAAAACAAAAAAACGTGCTCACAAAGAAAATTCTAGGCCCAGGTAGCTTCACTAGTGAATTCTGCCAAACTTTTAAAGAAGATTGAATACAAATCCTTTACAAACTTCCAAAAAAAATTGAAGAGATGGGAAAACTTCCTAACTCATGCTATAAGACCAGTATTAGCCTAATAACAAAACCAGACAAAGACATCACAAGAATTGAAAATTAATAGACTAGTATTGCTTATGAATAGACAAAATCTTCAACGAAATATTAGAAAGCTGAATTCAGTAGCATATTAAAAGGATTGTACGCCATGACCAAGTGGGATTTATCCCAGGAATGCAAGGTTGGTTTAATGTATGAAAATTAATATAGTACAGTGTTAACAGAGCAAAGGACAAGAAACACATGATCATCTCAGTCGATGCAGGAAAAGCCTTTGGCAATAATGCAACACCCCTTTGTGATAGAAAACACTCAGCAAACTTAACAGAAGGGAGCTTCCTTATCTTGGTAAAGAACATTTATCAAAACAAAAGAACATTTATAAAAAACCCACCGCTAACATCAGACTTAATGGTGAAAGACTGAAAACTTTTCCCTTAAGATCAGGAAAAAGATAAAAATGTCTGTTCTTGTCCTTTCTATTCAACCTTGTATGGAGGTTCTAAGTCGGCCCTTAGGTAATAAAAAGAAATAAAAAATATCCTCATTGGTAAAGAACAAGTAAAGCTGTTCCTGTTTATAGATGGCATGATCATATATATTTAAAACCTCAAGGAATCCACCAAAGATTATTAATTGGTAAACAGGCTTAGAATGTTTGGAATACTAGGTCATTATATATAAATCACTTGTATTTCTTTTTTTCTTTTTTTTTTTTTTTTTAATTTATTTATTTGAGAGAGATTGCACACACACGAGTTGGGGGACAGGCAGAGTAAGAGAATCTCCAAGCCAACTCCCCCCTGAGCATGGAGCCTGACTCAGGGCTCGATCTCACAACCAGTAAGATCAAGACTTGAACTGAACCAAGAGTCAGATGTTTAACCAACTGAGCCACATAGGCAACTCAAGTCAGTTGTATTTCTATATACTTGCAGTGAACAGTACTAAAGTAAATTAATAAAACATTCATTTATAATAGCATTAAAAAGAATAAAATACTTAATAAATTTACCAAAAAGAAATGTAAGACATACACCCCAAACTATAAAACATCATTGAAAGAAATTAAAGAAGACTTAAATAAATGGAAAAACTTCTAGTGTAAGGATTGGAAGTCCTAATGTTTTCTGATGACAGTATTTTTTATATTAATCTATAGATCTGATGTAATGCCTCTCAGAATTCCAGCTGACTTTTTTTTTTTTTGCAGAGATGGATAAGTAGATCTAAAACTCACACAGAAATGCAAAGGACCCAGGTCCGCCAAATCATTTCTAAAAATGAAGAACAAAATTGGAAGACTCACACTTCCTGATTTCAAAACCTCCTACAAAGCAACAATAATACAGATAGTGAAGTATTGGTATGAGGATGGACAAATAGATCACTGAAGAGAATTGAGATTCCTCATTTATAGTCCATTGACTTTGAACAAGTGTATGAAATATGAAAGCCTTCAGTGGGGATAGAGTAATCTTGTCAACAAATGGTGGTTGGTCAGTTAATATCCATATACAGAAGAATAAAACTTAGATCGCTGCTTCACATCATTTATAAAAATTAAATACATCAAAAACCTAAACCTAAAAGCTAAAACTGTAAAACTGTTAGAAGAAAATGAAGCATAAATCTCATAGTGAATCAGGAAGTCATTTCTTAGATAGGACATCAAAAGCATAAGCAACAAACAGGTAAATTGGACTGAAAAGCCTTAGTTCAAAGGCTTAGTTCAAAGCCTTAGTTCAAAGACACTATCAAGAAAATAAAAAGACAACCCACAGAATGAGAGAAAATATTGGCAAGTCATTTATCCGGTAAAGAACCAATATCCAAAGAACTCTTAAGTCTCAACACTAGAAAGGAAAAAAAAAAAAAAAAAAAGAACAAAAACAATTTAAAAATGACAAAGCATCCAAATAGGTTATTTCTCCAAAGATATAAGAATGGCTAACAGGCACATGATAAGAGCTTCGGCATTGTTCATCATTAGGGAAATGCAAATAAAAACCACACTGAGATACCACTTCACACCCAGTAGAATAGTTACAATGAAAAAATGGGCAAAACAAGTGTTGGTGAGGATATAGAGATTGGAACGCTTATATGCTGCTGGTGGGAATGGAACATGAGGCAGCTGCTATAGAATAGAGTTTGGCGGTTCCTCAAAACATCGAACATCGAATTTACCATGTGACCTAGCAGTTCCACTCTTAGGTCTGTGGACAGACATGACCATACTAAATTTGTTTGCAGATATACTTAACAGCATCATTTATAATAGCCACAAAATGGAAACAACCTATGTGTTCATCAGTTGATGACTAATCAAGAACTAATATATTGATATAATGGAATATTATTCAGTCTTAAAGAGACAAAGTACTGGTAATTAACAAGGATGAACCTTGAACACATGATGCTAAGTGAAAGAAGCCAGACACATTTGATTCCATCGACATGAAATTCCAAAATAAGCAAATCCATAGAGACAATATTTGTGATTGTCAGGGGCTGGGAAAGTGGAGAATGACTATTAATGGATATAGGATTTCCTTGGGGATGATGAAAATGTTCTGGAATTAGTGGTAATGCTTATATAGGTTTATGAATATATAAAAACCCACTGGATTATATACTTTAAGAGGGTAAATATGATATGTGAATGATATCCCATTAAAAGATATTTGAAATTAACTGTAGGGATATATTATTCATATGCTTTTCATTTTGATGATTTAGGTGATCTGTAGTAATTCTGGAAGTCTTCAGACTTTGAATAGACTTTTCTAAGTTCTATCTGGAATGAAATTGGAGTTATTAGTATAAGTGAGAGGGCATTTCTTCTCTGATTTGTTAGAACAACTAAAAGCCTGCTTTGTAAATATTTTTGTTGTTATTTATTTTTTATCTTACTTTAATACCATTATAGCTAACATAAATTGTTATGTAAGTTTCAGGTGTACAATTAGTGATTCAACAATTCTGTGTATCACTCATTAGTGCTCAGTAAGATAAGTGTATTCTTAATCCTCTTCACCTCTTTCACCCATCCACCTACCCAACTCCCCTCTGATAATCATGTTTGTTCTCTAGTTAAGAGTCTGTTTTTTGGTTTGTCTCTTTTTTTTTTCTTTTGTTTGTTTTGTTTCTTAAATTCTACATGTGAGTGAGATCAGATGGTATTTGTCTTTCTCTGGCTTATTTTTCTTAGCATTACATTTTTTAGATCCATCCATGCTGTTGTTGCAAATGGCAAGATTTCATTCTTTTTCATGGTTGAATAATATTCCATTGTGTGGACTCTATCCATTCATCTTTTGACAGACGCTTGGGCTGCTTCTATAATTTGACTGTTGTAAGTAGTGCTGCAGAAACATGGGGTGCATATATCCCTCCAAATTAGTGTTTTCATATCCTTTGAGTAAATACCCAGTAGTGTGATTCCTAGATCATAGGGTAGTTCTATTTTTAGTTTTTCGAGGGACCTCCATACTGTTTTCCATGGTGGCTGCCCCAGTTTGTATTCCTACCAACAGTGCACAAGGGTTCCTTTTTCTCCATGTCCTCGCCAAAACTTGTTGTTTCTTGTGTTTTTTTATTTTAGCCATCCTAACTGGTGTAAGGTGATAATATCTTATGGTTTTGATTTGCATTTCCCTGATGGTGAGTGATACTGTAAATACATTGTTAATAAAAAACAGTAACCTCATGTAATATTGAAATTAAAATGTATCATTATTTAAGATGTAAGAGAATCAGATCTGTCATACTGCATGTAATTTTCATATGTTGCTGTGTAGAAAGTCTGTATGTGGGTACTGAAGCATAGCAGTGTTGTTTCTACAGGAGAACCAATTCCCCCTCGGACCTTGACTGAAGCAGGCACAATGGCACTTTGCTACAGCGCTGCTTGGGATGCACGAGTGATCACTAGTGCTTGGTGGGTGTACCATCATCAGGTAATAAGGGCTGTGGTCCTTTTTCTTAATTTATTAAGAGCTACTGTGTACCAGGACATGTGGGTGGCTTTGTAGGTTAAGTGTCTGACTCTTGATCTCGGCCCAGGTCTTGATCTCAGGGTCCTGGGTTCAGGCCCCGCATTGGGCTCCCAAAATACAAGAAATAAAAAAGCTATTGTGTACCAAATTTTGAGGGTATAGATGTGAACAGGTGATTTTGTGAACAGCTGACATTTTGGTCCTGGGGAAAAATACATAAACAATGTCTGGTAACAAGTGCTGTAAAATTTTTTTCTTAAAGCTGAGTAGGCAGTAGAGAGTGATAAGGGCTACCATTTTGAATGAAGCATCAGGGAAAGCCTTTCTAGGAAAGTAAGATGTGGGAAGACACCTAAATGAAGAGAGCAAATGATTCATGCAGTTACACAAGATGATTAGTGTTTCAGTTATGACTGGCGTACTGACCTAAAAGATCTTTCTGCTCTTCATCTTGGTTGGAATTTTATACCCTTCCCAAAAAATAGCTATATCCAGTGTTTTAGTAATTGTCCCTCTTAAATGCCGTTTTACTTGATGGTACTTTACTCCATATTTGACTTCACATCGCTGTTTCACATTTTTAATAGTTAAAGTTGATAACAATGAACTTTTACAAGGTCCTAAAGCTATGCAGTAAGATAAAGAATTCAGTATTATTATCCTCCCATAGTTTCATTTTACATCTATTTATATTCATTATTTTCTGCTATGCTGTGATACTGTGTTTTCAGGAAATTAGTATCACTTCTGAGATGATAGTTTCTGCCTCAGTACTATTATAAAAGTGGTTTTAATTGTTTTATTGAATTTTTGAAAAGATTTTATTTATGTGACAGAGAGCGAGAGAGGGAACACAAGCAGGGGGAGTGGGAGAGGGAGAAGCAGGCTTCCTGCTGAGCAGGGAGCCTGATGTGGGGTTCGATCCTAGGACTCTGGGATCATGACCTGAGCTGAAGGCAGATGCTTAATGACTGAGCCACCAAGGTGCCTTTGAACTGGTTTTTTAGGGTGAAATTAGTGTGCTTTTAACCCCTCCAGTATTTATGACAAAGATACTCTCAGATCTGGGGGTCTCACAGATAATATAAAATTCCTTTTTTTTATTTTTTAAAGATTTTATTTATTTGACACATAGAGCATGCTCAAGCAGGGGGAGTGGCAGGCTCCCCACTGAGCAGGGAGCCCAATGTGGGGCTCAATTCCAGGACCGTGGAATTATGACGTGAGCCAAAGGCAGACGCTTAACTGACTGAGCCACCCAGGCGCCCTGATAATGTGAAAATTTTAAAATATTGTGCAATTATTTTGCCAAATTAGAATATATTTTTTTAAAAATCTACTCTTATCTATATTTCCTAAAATGAAAGGTTATTTAAGTACCCCAAAAACAGTACCTCAGGAAAGGATTTTATTTAATACAATTTTAGGGGCGCCTGGGTGGCTCAGTGGGTTAAAGCCTCTGCCTTCAGCTCAGGTCATGATCCTGGGGTCTTGGGATCGAGCCCTGCGTCAGGCTTTCTGCTCAGCGGGGAGCCTGCTTCCTCCTCTCTCTCTGCCTGCCTCTCTGCCTACTTGTGATATCTCTCTCTGTCAAATAAGTAAATAAAATCTTTTAAAAATAAATAAATAAATAAATACAGTTTTAGTAAATCTAGCTTTTATGATATAAGCTTATTAAACTGTCCTTATTTTTCTCATTGTATCTCAAACCAGAGGAAACATGTGGACAAGGTCTGACTCTAACCCATGGCATTTGAAAATTATTGGTGTAGTGTATCCTTCATTTCTTTTCTGTTACTGCCAAAGGTATATCTGCCTTGAAGAAATATTTAGCATTGAGAATTTTTATGCTAAATTGTAAACTTTTTAGGAGGCAGTGCTGTTTACTTGTCTATGACTTTATTGAGTGAAAATTTTAAAAATGTATTTCTTATGACAACAGTATAATGTGTTCCTCAGGTGTCTAAAACAGCACCAACTGGAGAATATTTGACAACGGGAAGCTTCATGATAAGAGGTAATGACTTGTCGGTGGATTATGGAGGTGATATGAGGACCGTTGCTAATAATATTTTCAAAACAGACTGTTCTGATTTCATGTATGAAATATTTTGATTCCGTATATGAAATTTTTTATGAAATACGGAATATTTTGTGCTTGCTGTGGCAAATTTAGCATTTGTCATGTCATCTTCATATGTACTTTTCTTGATGAGAATGTGCTTTCACATAAAGTTATAAGGGTAAAAATGTATAGCATGACCTTTTTTCTAAAAACAGATCATTCAGGGCTTGACTAACTCAAAGATGAGAGCAAGTATTTGTATTTTTTCTTTCTTAATTCTTATTCCTATACATAATACCAAATTCTGTGAATGCAAAATGTTCCTTCATGACAGATACAATACAAAATAAATGTCATCACCAGTGTCAGGTGATTTGCAAACATAAAATGGAAAAAAAGGATTTTTAACATTTATGTTTATTGTCTTTTATAGGAAAAAAGAATTTCCTTCCTCCCTCATATCTAATGATGGGGTTTAGTTTCCTCTTTAAGGTATTCCTCAGTTTCTTTGTTATTTTTTTTTTTTTTTTTTCTGATTTTCATGAGTCTTACCTAAAGTTCTGTCAGTGAAAAAGAACTATTTCCGTAGGTAGATGAGTCTTGTGTTTGGAGACATCGAGGTGAACGAAAAGTCAGAGTGCAGGATGACGACATGGAAACACTGGCAAGTTGTGCAAGTGAACTCATATCAGAAGACATGGATCAACTAGGTAGTTTACAGATTTTAATGAAGTAGCTTATAGTGCTCCCTGTTGTCTAGTTTATCTTCTAAGATCTTAGAAGATCATATTGACTTTGGGATAATTGAAATGTCAAAATACAACTTGATGTTCAATTTTACTGAATTTTGTTTTTGGAAATGTTAAATATACTTGTTCTAGTGAACTATGAAGTATTTAATTAGATCTGTAACAAACATATAAATATATGAAGTAAAACTTTAGTATTTAATGGGTCAAACTTAAATGTGTTCAGCAGAGATAGAGCTCATTTATTTACAGATGAGCATTTACTTTTGGATTTAAGTATCAGAAGTGATACAAAGTTGAGTTTATAACAAGTGTAATTTCTCACATGAGAATTTGGCTTGATTTAATAATACATTGGCTTCAAGTGGAAAGCAGCTGTGGTTGCTGGAATAAATTTACTCACCTACCTAAAAGAACGAGGGAACATACCCCCTCTATTATTTTTACAGTTATTGTCCTAGGGTCATTCCTTTTTAGGACTAATATTGCATTGTTTCGTTTATAACTACTGTTGTATTACAAGATTTTTTAAAATTTTCACCATGTTCCTGACACTGTACAAAGTTCTCTATTTACATTATTTTTTAATGGAATTCTCAGAACCATCTTTGCCAGATGGTGATGGCATCTCCTTTTATAGGGGAGGCAACTAAATAATATTTTTACTACTAAACGGTGTTTCTTTTGCGAAAGTGTGACTACCTTCTGTGTGCCTGTTCTATTACATGTATTGTTTCATTTCACTTCTCATGTGCAAGTTACAATAACAGCAGCAGAATTTATAGAATTACTTCTCTTGTCTTCCTTTTTGGAAATACCTAACCAAGAAAAGTTAAAGTTTTCATTGTAGAAATGGTTGCAATGTCCAAGAAATTTGTAAAGTATCTTGGAGAGCATTTATTCCAACCATGATCATGATACAAGATACAAGAGTATCCTTGTTCATGATACAAGAGTATCCTTTTGTCTGACTGCTCTTTAGGGATGATCAGGCTTTTTTTTTTTTTTTTTTTTTTTGGTGATCTTTTGGAGAAACGGAGTCAACAGAATGCCTTTTTGAAGTTTTCGAGGTAATCACCTAGCTTTGTTATGGTGGTATCACTCTGACTTTGTTTACGATAACTCTGCAGATGGAGGTGACAGTAGCAGTGAAGAAGATAAAGAGGAATCACACGAAACTCCTGTGGAAGTGGAACTTATGACTCAGGTTGACCAAGAGGATATCACTATTCAGAGTGGTGGGGATGAGCTAAATGATGAACTGATTCAGGAAGAAAGCTCTGAAGATGAAGGAGAATCTGAAGATGTAGCAAAAGATCAGGAACCTGTTGGTGAAATGAAGGATGAAGAGGAAGAGACATTAAATTATCCTGATACTACCATTGACTTGTCCCACCTTCAATCCCAAAGGTAATTAAAAACTGTTATTTTATAGCTGGCAATGACAGAAGAGTTAATCCTTCTAAAACAATACCAAGGTTGACTTTAGTACTTTTACCTTCTATTGTCCTATATAGTCTTACTATGTTTTTATCATTTGATTGGGGGATAGATTTCACTAAAGAAATTTCCAGGACCCAGGTAGAAAAATACAGTAAACATAAAAGTGGCCAAAGTAGGTCAAAATAGAAACAAGTATATGAGTATAAATGCTGATAATGTAAGGAAATTCCATAAAAAATTTGAAGCATTTTAATCTTTAAAGTCTTACTGATCACCAAGTAAACAATATCATTGTTTTAAAAGCTTTATCACTAGGATAGTTAAGAAGAGCTTAGGAATCAGGCCAGAATTGAGTCTTAGGGTATGTGCTTGAGCAAGTTACTCTGTGTCTGAGCTTCAGTTTCTTTCTCTGTGAAAATGGCATATTACCGACCCCTATAGGGTTTTGGTGAAGATTATATAAAGCATTGGGGAGTGCCGGGCACGTTGTAAGTGTTCAATACATGTCTGCTATTTAAGAATTTATTTAAAAGTGTGAGATGAGCAATATCGTTTTTAAAAATTTTATCAGGTGTGAAGATTTTTAGATTGCCAGTAATTAAGGGTGTGATATGGGAATTTTGTGGACTTTGTAAATGAATGCCTTTTACAGGCTAGTAGATGCCTCTTTCTGCTTATTCTCATAGGTCCCTTCAGAAATTGGCTTCAAAAGATGAATCTTCTAATATGGTAAGCTATTTTCAAAGTTTTGTGAAGAATATCATGTCTTTCTCATTAAATCATTTTTTACTTTTAATTTTACTTTCTGGAAGATTAATAGCAGTGATGTTATTTTTTATATTTGCTTGTGTTTTTTTGTTTTGTTTTAATAGAGTGACAGTAAGTTACAGAGTCGGAGACATTTGTCAGCCAAGGAAAGAAGGTAAACAAATTTGTGTTATCTAACTGGAAAGCATGTAAATTTTTTTTTTTTTTTTTGGTTACTGATGATTCAGTTATGATAGGTAACTTGGAGGTTCTAAAGACCTCCCTTATTAAAATTACCAAGATTTAGCATAAAACTTGTTTAGTTCTTAATATTCAGCTCTAATAGGTTTTTCTGTTTTAGGTCCCTAATCTATCACTACAGTCAGTGAGATAGGTCAAGTAACATGAGACAGACCTTTGTTACATAAATATGTGCATTAAATAGGCTGGTTCTAGGATAATATTGGAGGGAATAAGCAGGAATACCTGAAAATGATTAGGAAAGCTTCATTTAATAGAGAAGACTTTTTTTTTTTTTTTTTTTTTTTTTTTAACATAGAAGGTCTCGGGAGGCAAACAGTAAGGCAGAAGCCAAGGAAAGGGACAACTGAGATAATCACTATAGGGTAAAAAGGCTATATAAAGCTAGTAATGCAGTCCAAGAAGAGACTCTAGAGTGGAATGGATAATAAACCCTTTTGCTTGAGAAAGATAGTTATTAAACAGTTTCAGCAAACTCTCTGAGGACACAGCACTATGCTAGATACTGAGTATACAAAGAGGTAAAATATAGTAAAGTTTGCGCCTTTAAGGAATTTTGAGTCCTGGATTCAGGAAAGAGCCATACAAGTAGGGATACAGTAGTTCAAGAGTAAGAAACTGCTGTGAGTCCAGGTGTGTTGAGAATGCCATCAGAAGTATACCTTGAAGATATATCAGGGTGTAGGTAAATGAAGATAATCAGGTCAAAGATTCCAAGGAGAATTAACATGAACAAAGCAGGGCAGGGATTTGGAAGTAATATGCATAGTGCTTTGGGGAAATGGTAAGTAGACTGAGGTGAAAGGGGAAGAAAGTTCATGTTTGTGAACTGGTAGATGATAAGACTGACAAAGTGAACTTGGATCAAAAGTGGAGAACTGATTATCAGAAGCTATGTATTTTTAGACTTGATCCTGAAAATGATGGGAGGAGCACTTTTGGAAGATTTTAAATGGGAATGTGAGATAGGTAATCTAGAAGTTCATCCAGAACAGTTAATGGGGGAAATGCTGGAGAAAGGCCTGGGTAGGAAGTGATGAAGACCAGGGCTAGCACAGTGGCACTGGGAATAGAGATTACACAGAGAAAGTATCATAGTAATAGGATTTCCCATTCCTCCTTAATCTGTATCATTATCCATTTATTTATTCAGCTAACCTAGCAACATACTTTATTGAATACCTAAGATCTGCCAAGGCCGTGCTGTCACAAAAACTACAAATCCCAGTGCCTGGCCATCAAGGGTGTTGAGGCTACTGAGTAAGGATAAGTCCAAGGTGACAGTGTGTGAAGCGTGGATGACAGAAAGAATGATAAATCCATGAGAGAAGAATATTCAGCTTTTTCCTATATGCTGATTTGTGCTGCTTTTATACTACAGCCGGTGGTTATGAACTTAACCAGATGCCACGATCTTTTGTATATTGTACATGTTCCCCTTCCCATGCAGTATTTTAGGACACTAAGAATTAGATGTTCCCATTTCATTTCTATTTAGGGAAATGAAGAAGAAAAAGCTTCCAAGTGACTCAGGGGATTTAGAAGTGATAGAGGTAAAGGACAAAGAAAAAGAAAATACTCTACACATTGAAGCTCATCAGAACACAAGCAAAAGTGTCCCAGTTGTGCAGCCAATGAAACGAGGACAGAAGGTAATAAAACTTTGGGGTGTGGACTGTTAAGGTGAGTCTGTGGTTCACAAATGAAGTTGTGAGGTTCTTCTTAATTTTTTAAAGTTTAAGTGAAACAAAAGATGTAGTTTAAAAAAATAATCCTATGAGACTTCCTTTAACTGAAAATTAAAGAGGTAAGATTGAGGGAACATAGAGATCATTGTTCTGTGTCCCTTTAAGATCATCTAGATGGAAGCTCTCATTTTATGTAGAATAAGAATTACAAGTATAGACTTTTAGAAGTCTGAATTATCAATCTTCTATAGTTAGAGGAGTTCTTTGTGTCCTGTTTAAAGAAATCTTCAAAAATGAATAAATTTGTTATTTGGGCCCCAGCTAAGATTAATAAGGATAGAAATCTAGGTAAGGCCTAGAGGTCTATAGTTTTAAAAATTACTAGGTAATTTGGATGTGTAGCCGCATAAAAGAATCACCAGTTTAGTGAGAAAATTCAGTCTTAAGAGCCTTTATCCAGCTTAGTTTTGCTGCCTTGTTTCTTATTCCTCTTTATGTAGGTCCTGGCTCCAACCACATGCAAGGACTTGCTGTTACTACACTGTCCTGTCTTTATCTTTTAATCCTGCTTTTCCTGTATTCCCTGATACTATAAAATTTACTTCAGACTTTCAAATTGTACTTTCATTTCTTCCCCACAGCTCTTGCTTAAGCTGAAAAAAATCTTTTTCTGAATTACCTTAGAAATGTTTCCATTTAGAGTATGTTGCATTAATTTTTTTTAGCACTTTTTCATTTTCTTTTCAATGTTCCAAAATTCATTGTTTATGCAACACACCCAGTGCTCCATGCAATACGTGCCCTCCTTGATACCCACCACCAGGCTCAACCCACTCCCCACCCCCCTCCCCTCCAAAACCCTGTTTGTCTCTCAGAGTCCAGTCTCTCATGGTTTGCCTCCCCCTCTGATTCCCCCAAACTTAACTTCTCTCCGTCTCCCAATGTATGTTGCATTCATTTATCCTTACTCTTACATGTGTCATCTTCTACTAGATGGTAAATTGAGGCTGAGGACGTGGTTTATCCATCATTTTAGCCTCCACATTATTTATTATAATGGTAGCTTCTCAGCATTTTTGACAAGAGCACCTTTTCTTTATAAACATGTTGACATTTTTTTAGCTGCTGAATTTTTCCAAGTGAAGTCTTTTGATTTTGTAGAGTAAAATGAAAAAAATGAAGGAAAAATACAAAGACCAAGATGAAGAAGAGCGTGAACTCATCATGAAATTGCTGGGGGTAAGTAACATCCAAACCCATTTTCTTTTTTGTTTGTTTTTTATTCATTTTTAGATTTCATTTACTTGATAGAGCGAAAGAGAGCGAGCGAGCGAGCGATCAGGTTGGTGCAAGCTAGGGAAGCATCAGGGAGAAGCAGCAGCAGAAGCAGACTTCCCGCTGAGCAGGGAGCCCAATGCGGGGCTTGATCCCAGGACCCTGGGATCACGATCTGACCGAAGGCAGACATTTAACCAGCTGAGCCACTCACTCACCCATTTCTTTTGCTTTCAAGGGGCATCCAGACCACTGCCTATCCTATGCTAGGATTCAGTACATTTTTGTTAAAATAATTGACAATATTGAACATACTGACATTTTTTTTTTTAGTTTTTTTTTTATTTATTTGTCAGAGTGCTCACAGAAGCAGGGGGAACAGCAAGCAGAGGGAGAAGCAAGCTCCCCACTGAGCAGGGAGCCCAATGCGTTACTTGATTCTAGAATCCTGGGATCATGATCTGAGTGGAAAGCAGATGCTTAACTGACTAAGCCACCCAGGCACCGCCCCCCCCAACTTATTATTTTTTTTTTTTAGGATTTTTTTTTTTATTAGAGCAAGCTGACTATTTTACCTCTGTAAATTGAAGTCTGCAGGTTCAAACAAAGAAGAAAAAGGGAAGAAGGGGAAGAAAGGAAAAACAAAGGATGAACCTGTGAAGAAACAGCCCCAGAAACCTAGAGGTGGACCAAGGGCTTCAGACAGCATAAAGAAAGAAACTCCATCCCTTGAGATTGCAACTCATGAGTTACAAGACTTGACCGTAGATGATCCACATGATGATAAGGTAGGGCCACCACACATACGGATATGGGCTTTCACTCCATTAATTCACTAACCACGTCAGGGTTCCCAAGACACGAGGCTTACGTAAATGCTAAAACCAGGACAAGTGGGAACCTTATTCTTAATGGAAAGTCATCTTAGAAATACAACCTAAAAGACTAAATTTCCAAGATATAAGTGTAAAAATGGTCATGTTCATATGATAAAAAGTTTTTTACCTTTAGAAAATTTTATGGAGAGGCTTTATCTGATTCTAGTGGGAACTTAGTTAAAATAAGACAAATAATTTGGATTGTCTTGAAGATGAGTAGAAAGTAAATTTGCACTACTCTAGATTTTTCTATAGGAAAAATGCTGTATTATCTTACATAATGTTCAGTGCCTGTACAGCTCAAGTTCCCTAGTGGAAAAACCAGCGAAAAGTGAACATTTATCCAGTTAAGAGGGTTGCCTAATTATTCTATCAACTGAACACAACAAGCCCAGCTTTAAGTGTATCTTGAGATCCTGAGCAAAGGATTTATTATGTTATACAGTTGGGAAAAAAAGTGGTTTCGCTGATATTTGTATTAATAGCAGTTAAAGATTTGGTTAGAATCGTGTGCTCTGTTCAGTGCAGGTAATGCTTACAGGGATTCTTAGTGTGCTACTGTTTTCTTCTTTCCCTGAACAGTGTTACTGTTTTATAATATGACAACTCATTTTGATCCTCAAATTTTTATACTATTCTCATATTTGTAATTTATTCTCTAAACCAAAGACTCCTAAATATTGAGGTGTTACGAATTATACATGAGAAATCTGGAGATAATCTAAGAAGAGCAAATGAAAGTAAGCTTACCTTAATATGTGAAAAATTTATCTTAGAACTAATGAACAGAGCATAAAAAATAAAAATTCTGTTCACCAGGATTCTCCATTTTCCTTTGGCAGACATCAAATTTAGTTGTCATTGCAATTTATCACTTTAACATTGAAAATTGTCATTTTAAATTTAATTTCCCTATTTTAGCATGCACCCCCATGTCAAAGTTGTTTTTTTTTTTTTTTTTTTTTTTTTTTTTTTTTTTTAAAGCTTACAGAGAACTTTTTTCTCTTTGAATGGCTTTGTTCTCTGAAATAGATGCACAACAGTTTTGGGACACTGAAGAACTCAGGCTTGGGATTCATAACCTATTGTTTAGATGGGATAGTCTTGTTATATTAGTTTTTTTTTTTTTTTTTTTCTCCTCATAATCGTGTGAAATTTCAATTTAAGTTATAGCTGACTTTTAAAATTTTGTTTGGAACAGGAAGAGCAAGATCTGGATCCACAGGGTAATGAGGTATGATTTTATGTTGGGGTTCCTGTTACGACACTCTGACTACAGTCTAGTTCCCAGAATATGTGATACACAATTTCTAACTAGTTAAAACTTCTAAGGCTAAGACAAGGTTATAGGCTCTGGAGTCCAACATTCTGGGGTTGAAGCCCAACTTTGCTACATGTAACTGCAACCCTAAAGCATTATTTTTTGTTCTTCTGTTTCCTCATCTGAAGCATGGAGATGATTGGTCCCTACAGGAGAGTGTTTGGAGAATATACATAAAGCATTTAGAAAAGTCCATGGCACACAGTAAATACTACTTCAGCACCCAAACATCTTGTCCAAGTTTTATTCATGTTGCTAAATAAATATGGTTAATCTTGTAGGCAGCCCACAAAATGGCAACTCTAAGAAGCCTGTAAGAACAGGCAAAAGGTTTGGGTGGGTTTGGTGGGGGAGGGGTAATGGCTAGAAAATCCCCCCAGTCAAGAACTGCTGGTGTAGCCAAAGTATCAGTCCCGTTCCCAGGCAATGGATTTAAATCTATTTGTGGTCATTATTATACATCATTTTAATCCATAGTAGTTTTCTGCAACAAATTTACGAGTATTATTTTTGAAAATCATTCTTCTCATTTCTCATTATGCTAGACAAAAATTTTAGTAGTAAAGAATATAAACACCATTGGCCTTAAATTCTTTGGACCTAGAAATAGAAAGCAGAGCTTAAGACTTAAGTCTATCAGAAAAAGATAAAAATATATTCAGATACTGGACTTTTCCTTCTTTAGGACTGGTTAAGAATTTTATAATTGTTTTTGTTTTCCCTTTTTAGGAAAATCTCTTTGACTCTTTGACTGGACAGCCACATCCTGAAGATGTATTACTGTTTGCCATTCCAATATGTGCCCCTTACACCACCATGACAAACTATAAGTAAGTGATCTACAGTTTACTCAAAACTACTGACACAACAGTGACTTATGAATGGTTTTGTAATCTCTGTTCAGTAACACACATAATTCCTTTTTAAAGATACAAAGTGAAACTTACTCCTGGAGTTCAGAAAAAGGGAAAAGGTATTTAAAAATTTTTTTGAATTACTATTTTGAACATGTTTTCACAAAACAGAACTAGATTACTCTATTTTCTACTTACAGCTGCAAAAACAGCCTTGAATAATTTCATGCATTCCAAAGAAGCAACAGCAAGAGAAAAAGACTTATTTCGCAGTGTAAAGGTAAAGTATTCCTCCTGAAGTCTGGAGATCGGTGGTGCTGTTACAAATGTTAGCAGTTAGTTTTCTACTTTCCGTTCTTTATTCAGTAGACGTAAGCAGCAGTTATTGTTTTGGTAGAAAATGTCTTACTGGAAGCAGTGTAAAGTAAAATCATTTCAGCTGAAAATTTTGGAAATGCCTTTCTTTTGACAGCAGAGAACACATAACTGTCATAAAAGAAATCTGACCACCATATAGAATATGAAGATATTCAGCAATTCTCTTTTTTTAGGACACGGATTTATCAAGAAACATTCCTGGCAAAGTCAAAGTGTCTGCACCCAATCTTCTGAATGTAAAAAGGAAATAGCTGAAATGAAATCCTAAAATATTTGAGAAGAGCCAATTTTATAGCCTTTTGGAAGTTCACAGATGAAAACACCGTGCAACAAGACTTCCACATTTAAAAAAAATGAACTAAACATTGCCTTGCTATATTCGCCAAAAGGACTTTTGGGTTTTTTTCCAGTTTTTTTTAGAGAGGAAACACTATGATAGGATTTCCTAAAATATTTGTGGACAGTTAAATGCTAATTGTATATATCTGTAGTTATCCTACAGGTTCTTGAAATTTGGGAGGTTAATACTAAGTTTTCATTTCGTGTTGTAAAGAAGTCAGACAGTGAAGTGGCTCAGTTGCTTAGACTATTGACTTGTTAGTCTGCCGTATAGAAGATCTAATATATCTATTCTTCACAGGCCAGTCTGCCGTATAGAAGATCTAATATATCTATTCCTCACAGGCCAGTCAAAAGATTTTTTTTGTTTTGTGTTTTTCTGGTGGTATGGTGTCGGGGGGGTTAAATATTTAGGATTAAGTCTTGGAAACCTTCTGCCTTTACTTGTCAAAAAATATATTAGACCAGATTTAAAATACACATAACACCTAGAAAAAATTGGCATTGATCATTTCCGTGCATTTACACAACTTCAGTTTTCATCCTGATTTCTTTCTCATACTCTCATTCAGTTTTATACCGATTTATTTTCTACCTCTAGTAATTATCAGCATGTTACAGATTATCTTAACCTATGATATCATAAGTGCACTTTTAGGCTTATCACTAAAGACTCCTGACCCAGCTCCTCTTATCTCCTAACAGAACAGAGAACTAAGTCATACATCATTCCCATTCTTTGATGAGCTAAAAAACTGTTAATTATTAAATGATTAGACAATAGCTACCTACAGTCAATATGACCACTTGCCCCACCCCTATACCAAAGCATTAATAAGGTCAAGTACTGAACAGCTGTTGGACCTTCCAGAATTTCTTTAACCAGCTTAGTCCTGTTGAGAATATTTCTTCATTTGAAATTAATGTAAAAAAAAAAACCTTTATATAGCCTAGTGTTATAAGTACAAGACTACTCTTGCCATTAAAAAAATACTAATTTTAAAAAATAACATCACCATTTTGAGAGTGGTAATAATAATTAGTATAATGTTTTTATAGCTATATATCCTGAAGTTACCAAAAAGTAAATATAACAACCATTCCTTGGGGTAAAAAGCCCAAGTATTAATTTTCTTTTGCTTTAACAGAAGACAGTTACTGGTGTTAAATACATTTATTGTAAACTTTAGACACAAAAATAGGTTCTCTAGGCCATTCACATGCACATTAAAACCAAAAAGCTGCAAACTACAACAATGCATATAATTATACAAATGATGCCACTCTTTGATGTTTACAGAATTGCTGTCCATGCAAGGGGATCAGAGGCATGATCTATGAAGCCTTAAGATCCAGAAGTGTTGTTACTACCAAACCTCTGATTAACACTGTGAAGTAAGTGTTTTGGAAGGCAGTTCCATGAGTTGGCTAACATTTCCTTAAAGCAAATGACTGCTTCTAAGCTTAGCCTGAAAGGGGACAAGAAAAAAATAATTTGAGAACTTAAGAAAAAACAGCATGCCCCTCTCCCCCAGAAAAAACACTTTAAAGATTTTCACAGGAACTAGTTAGTTATATCATTGAAAGCTTGTTATTGCCCTTAATCTATAAACCTGGTTTTTCAAAAGCATAATTTAAAATGAAGTACCCAGTAAGAAGTTACTCACCTTACAAGAGATTTTGGTTGAACTGAAAATATAAGTATTTCATTACTGTGTGCCTGAAAAATAGAAAGAAAACATATAAAAGTAAGTACTCCACAAGTAAGTTTCAGAAATATTATAAAGTGTCCTTTAACTAGGGTAGTATACTTACAGCTCTGTGATGGACAAGAAGGTTATTGGCGCATCCACCAAAAACAATTACTTCTCCTTCGTCACTGGCACAAGCTGTATGCCATAATCTGTATTTAAAACAAAAGCTTGAGTTTGAAGTTACCCAAACACCAAAATGACAATTTATACTACAGAACAGAATGATGAAATAAAGACTAGAGTTCTTTAGTACAGACCAGAAACATGTTGAGAAGCAATTATCTTAAGTAGCAAACGCCAGGGAAAAAAAACAATTAATGTCTGTTTTATCTGATGTTATCATTTTATCTCTCTGGTCCAGTCCTAATTTATGCAATGAGAGGTTTGAACTGAATGATCTGTTCTCTAGGTCTTTGTTAGCAATAAAAATCTTATGGGAGATGTGTGGTATATGCCCTCTCGATCTTTTCACAGCAGGGCCAGTCGACCTTATACAAAACATCTGAAGGATGCAGAGTCTGCCTGAGATACTCCCAAGTATCAGGCCTGGTAATTCTATGGACAATTTTTTTGTGCCAAATGAAGCCTTTGTGCATAAGTGTACTTAAATTAGAGGCTTGGGGGGAAAATGCAGGCTGACCTACTTAAATGTGCTTTGAATACCAGTTGTGACTAGATCATATCCTCTGGCAATTTTTTTGTAACAATTCTGACATTAACAGAAAGAATTCTTCTTTTGGGGTGATTTGACTTAATATTTGTTAGTGCTACTGCAAATCTGATGGAAGTTTTTTCCCACTGACATTGTTCAAGGTTTTGCAATTCTCTTCTTTCCAGTTACTTTTCTTAAACGGCAATCATAGAAACAGTTGAATTCACTTGAGAAAAGCGCTTGACTATAAATTTTAGCTATATCAATTTTATGATAAAAGCAGCAGCAAAAGTCAAAGTCCAGCTCTGTTTTTTATGCACAGTGACAGAAGAGAAAGCATTTGATACTAGGATAACTGTTTTGTTTTTTTTTTCTTTCAAGAGGTATGATGTGAACCTTAGTGAGTGCTAGGATTTTTATAAGAATGAGGGATTTAATGCAGCCATAATTTCCTCTCTCATTACCAGTCTTGTACATCTTTATCGACCTCAATTATTCAGTATAAGAATTACTTTTTAAATAGTTCATACCTTGGTTTTTCAGTATAGGGATGATTAAACTGTATCCATTCATTTTTACTGATGCAGTAAGTCCAGGCATCACCTGATGGAAGCAAAGAGAATAGCCATGAAGTATGTTATTTTGTCAACAGGAGGCTGGTAATTAAAGGGCACAGCTTTAGCAAGAAAAGTAATAAATCAGATTGTGAGTACAAACAGGAAGTATATATCCTTTATTTTTTCCCCTCTGCAATTAACCAAATAAGCCAGCCCTTTGCCTGTTATAATCCTTCAGTAGGGCTTTTAAGTGTGCACTGGACAGAATCGATTGATGTCCTAATATAAAAACAATTACAGGTTTGTTATGGAATCAAAATTAATAGCAAACCTTCCAACAAACTCAAAGCCCTCTGATACATCTAAAATAGACTAATTTTTTCTAGCTATCTATAGATCACATATGAATGATATTTAATGATTTCTTGTATTTTTAAAAGACTTACTTAGTGGCTGTTTATCAGTGGTAAATCCTCCGAAAAGAAAGAGATGATCTGAAGAAACTGGTGTTAGTGAGTGCCAAGATCGGCCCACCGGGCATATGCCTTGTGGAATTCTGAAAACAGCAGCTAAGTTATAATCTGTGTTTAAAAGCACCCATTTAATAGAAATACTGAAGAAGTTTTCTTTTAAAGCTTATATAGAATCATGAAAAAAAGAGACTTTAAATTTAAAAAACCTCTTGGTATTAACAGCTACATGCTTTGGAATTAACTATGTTCTTAGAAGATACAGTCAACTTCAGACCTCTTCTCAACAATGAGCATATGCTATGTGCCAGGTACAGCACAGGAACGGGAAATTAAAAAAAATTCCTTTAAGGATCTAGTCATCATGTTTATTTAAGTTCTCAGTTATAGAAAATTTAAGCAAGTACATTATATACTGATAACAAGAAAAATTAAATTTCTTAAAAATAAATATCTAAAGTGATACATACAATTCGTTCCACTCCCATGTATCCAGATTAAGATAGTGAAGATCATTCATTCTAGCATCCTGAAAAAGGATAATTAAGTAACTATCATTTTGAATGACTTAAAAGCAAGTCCTTGAAACTATTCCTACACTTACTCGATATCTGCCTCCAAACACAAAGCCTTTGTTTCCAACAGTTGCACAGGCGTGGGCAGCACGAGGTGAAGGTGCTTTACCCTATAAAAGTCAAAAGAAATTTTTAAAAATAAGTACAAGTTTTCTCTGGATATGGGATGAGGATATGCAAGACACCTGGGCTTTCACGCTAAGGTGCACGTGTCTGTACAACAGCAGTACTACAGCTTCGAACTGTAATTCTGCATTTGAGTCTACTACTGAATGTGCTAGCTAACAGAACACTTGTCTTATTTCTATCTTTTAAAATTAAAGGTAGCATATTATATGACACCTGTGTCAGATGAAAAAGAAATCCAGTATTTTGAGTAACTTAATTACAGTCTAGTGCTAGGTCATTTATCTAGTTACAAACAATACCACTTAACATCTATTAGATAATGGATACTGGATTAGTTTATATATTCCCTAAACTTTTTTGAGGTGTGGGCTCCTTGGAGAATAATGAAGGCAGTGGACCTTCTCCAGAAAAACAGGAATGAACTGTCCCTTTTTGCCGCCTCCCAACCCTTTCTCCTCCAAGAAGTCTTGCTTTAATAATTCATTATTCTTCAGTAACTCACAGTAGTGATAGGCTGACTCCAGATAAATGTTTCAGTGTCTAAAATATGTACATGATCATTCCATCCTCTTGGGTGGCTTGAATTCTACGAAAAATGAGTAAGAATCAGAGTTATTTTACAAATGTTTATAAAATTATATAGCTTTGTTTGGTTTATGAATAAGGCAAAATGAGTAAGACTAGCAGACACATATTTTTTCAACATACCAAGAAGGCCATATCCAAAAACAAAACTTCACTTACCCAAAAAGATGTTTCATCAAATTCAAAAGTTCCCAAAACTTTATCTTCAGGTAAATATCCATAACCTCCAAAAAATATTAACCTGTTT